TACATGTATATATTCCCTAATAAGTAGATGTACGTAAATTTCAGAGCAATTTTATTTATTGCGATGTGCAAAGATTGCATCCTTTATGAATGCTTCACATGGCACTCATATATATCACAACATGACGAAATAGGAGTACGGAAAAATTCTCAGAATTCAATTTAGAACAATGTGTTATGTAAAATATTGTAAAAAACCTAATAATAACTCTTAGGATTATTTATATTGCTGTTTTTGTAATATAATAAAAAATTTATATTATTGCTTTGCTCTACTAAATGTAACAAAAAATTAAGTTAAAAAATAAAGTTTCTATCAACATGTCTCACGCCATGATAATCATGAAAGTCTATTTGGGCTTAATTGCTATCTTAACTATCCAATATCCATTACACGGTAGAAAGACAGATTGTAATGTTCAAATAACAGTGCGTGGCACACAATTTCAAGAGCAAAAATCATCACGCGACACTTGCAATAAAAACATGTACAGGAAAGAGGGTAGTACAGCGCTTTTCTCATTAACTAATGAGAAAAGTATTCACCAAGTAGAATGGCGCACAAGTTCCGCCAAGATATCAACAAATATAACTTGCAGTGGCCTATGAGAAAAGTTTATAAATATCCGCCCGACGTAGCAACTATACGAGGAAGGTAAATTGATGAATAAAGTCTAATGGACATGTACAACGTGAACGATGGAATATTTTGAAGAAGATTCGTGTGGACGAAGATAAATTTCGTCTGTCGTCCGACAATCAAGTCGAATATGTTCTTTCACAATAGTAACACGACGTGAGGAAGAAACGAGTGTGCATCTGTGATCGACGATGAAATATTACCAAAAACTACAAATATTTTGATCGGCAAGCCGAACGCTGCATATTAATGTGTGATAAATAAGAAAATAAGAAAAAATCAAGTAATGAAGAATATTAATACAAACGTTTTGGTTTTACTTTTGGGGTTATTATTATTATTTCTTAATCAATAATATTTATTTGTTTTTTAATAAATAATGTATTAATCGACATGAAGGTATTACGCATTCTTAATATCGATAATATGGGTATTCTTAATATATTAGATTAGTGCAAAAGGTTTGTTGTGTTCGTCGAATTAGAAGACGGAATTATTCAATTTTAGAAAAGATTAATAATTTTCGCGTATGAAATGAACAATATGGATTCGGTATCATTTTAGACATCTGACGAGAACTTGCTATTATAAAACCGAGTCAACTTTTTTCTCAATAATTATAATATAATATTCTTGTAAAGAGAATAAATTCTGTATTAGTAATGAAAGTTTTTATCTTTAAATGCATTTAATTTTGAAATATTCGAGGCTTACGGATAGCTTTAACATTTTACGTTTTCGATTGTCAGAGGCTTGCTGCTCTGTAAAATCTATATTGTCCCACCATCAATTCTCTCCATGCGGCTATTTACGCGCAATATTCGTGGCATCCTATAATAAAGGGGAACAATTAGCACAAATATACGGCAATAGCTGTATTACGGCGATGTTGTATTTCGCGCGCATTAAATACCGCTCTGTAATTCAGGAAGTAACTATTTAGCGATACGGCAACCCGGCGCGTCTCACGCTCCGAGTGCTTCCGCTCGCGGGCGATCGATGGCGATATTATTAGAAAACGCCGTGCACGAGTGCGTTTTCGGAAACGTACGAAATGCCTTCGTGTCGATTTCCGCCTTGATCTCCGTGTCACAAATACATTGCTTCCGCGACGGAAACGCTGGACGGCTCTTCTGTACTGTTGCACCGTCGTAATGATTAAACGTTGATTAATAGCTTCGTTCCGCTGAATTTCACGAAACGATCAATTAAAATTTCGTGAAATAATGAATTAAAAACGAACAAAAACGTCTTCCAAAATTAATTATTTACAATGCAAGCACACTCCGGTATATCAAGGAATGGCAGATACGCGCTAGATGTATACACAGTGACCGAGAATTCGCCCTGTCCGGGCTTTTCGCATGCGCATACTTTCGCGACAAGCAATTCGGGCAAAGCTAACGTGGTTTAGCTAAGGCAACGGTTAGTACAGGTGGAGTAGCTAATTACGCGAGCTCGAGAGTACCCAATTATTCAGCCGTGATACTTAAGTCAAGGGGATCCGATCATAATTAAATCAGTTACTCTGATTTTACGGTGACCTATACACATATCTACAGGGTGTCCCGGACTCTCCTCTGCAATTGTTGTGGGAACGTAGGATTTGAGTAAACATAAAAGTCCTGTACCGTTTTGCAATATTCGCAATAATAGTCGAGATATTAATTAAAGAAGATTGGCGAATGATGGCGCGCGATATGGTAGATGAGTTATAGTGGCGATGTGTGCTGTTGTGTGTGCTTGTATATTAGAACAAAATGAATAAAAAAGCCCTTTATCATTTTGCAAATAAGCACGTAGATTTTGTTATTAATGAAAGAAAATTATTACATGATTGTGCGCGATAAATTTCTTTAATTATAAAATATCTAAAAATCTATGTGATTATTTGCAAAATAATAGAGAACTTTTTTGTTCAGTTTGATCTAATGTATAAGTATACAACGACAGACGGCACCATTTCAATTTATCTACTATAGCGCGCGTGATCATTTTCTAATCTTCTTTAATTAATATCTCGAGATTTATTGCAAATATCGCAATATAAGACTTTTATGTTCACTTCAATCCATTATACATTTCCACAAAAATTGCAGAGAAAAGTCTGGGACACCCTGTATACACACACACACACACACATACACACAGTGCGATGTTTAATTCATCAGTATTCTCTACTATCCATTCGTTCGCGCTCGAAATTCAACCAATCCACCGAATTCGTGACAATCGACTCTCGCGGCACGATTTACACAGACGACTCTACGTGTCCTTTTTCCCTTCCACAAGCATATGTTAACACTTAATCATCCTCTCTTATGCCTTTGCGTAAACTCACGAATTGTACACATAGAAAAATACATACATTCGAGTAAATATTATTCGTGTTTCAAGTTTTTTATAAATATATATATCTGCAAATCTGTTGTAAGTGTATTCTCCTACTAAATTTAACGTTTCAATAAAAAGTATTCAATTAAAAAAAATACTCGGTTTACTTACTATATAAAGTTGAATCAACATTTTCTTGGACAAATTTTTAGGATTCTTGTAAAGAAAATTAATTCTTCTTTTTAGTACATGATAAAATAACCTTTCTTCCAATTTGTGATGAGTATATTTGAACACTATTATCAAGAACATATCCTTTTTTGCAGACAACCCTTATTTCTTAATAAGAAGGAAAGTAAACTATCGCTTTTCTTAGCAACAGAATGATATTTTTCTCTGTGTATGCTGTTATCTGTCTTTTCTTGAAGTTAATGTAAGGTCACATAAAAGCAAACGTTGCTTTTACATTTACGTAAGTTAACGAACCTAATCATGGCCTTTTATTGTTTAAGGAGACTGTAAATCTCAGTGCCATAATTTTTGTGGCGCATCAAAGGGTGATTGCTCATAAACCTATCAAACAAAATTACGTTTCTATACATCTATTTCACGTAAATCATAAATGTTAATTTGAGAGAAAATTGGATATATACACACAACATTAAAGTAGATATAAGTGGATATAAGTAGATATATAAATGAATATATATACACAATATTACAAATACGAAGAACATGATTTAAAAAATTTTTCTTACTAATATCTTATTTGTGCCTCAATTGTAAGATGCACAGATAATAGAAAGAAGTATATAGAAATGTTTAGATATATGTATATATATATCGATAGCATGACGTTTTGACAATCTATGTTATCGACATGTTTGAATTCCGTCATATGACATCCTCGAGAAGAAAAAGATAAAGATATATCGAAACGTGGGACTTGGGTAGCCTAGTTGCTAGAACGGTCATCCGGCAAGTGAAGGGTCTGAGTTCGATTTCCGGCCCAAGTCTATCTTATGCCCAATATATTTTCTCTCATTTCTTCAATAGCTTCTTACAAGTTAATTCAATAAATCTAACTAGACCTAAAAATATTAAACAAGAGAATGAGAGAAATTTCGAAGTGTGGATTTTATTGAATAGTTTGATTGACAAAGCAGTTGCCTGAATACGATACCTGCTTCAGTCGATACTTCCCTCAGTTAATTTTTTTATTTTACATAATGAAGCAGTTCCATGCAGCAAAAGAATTATGTATGAAAGTAATGGATAAAATGAAGATTTTTGTTAATATTACCTTTATTATTGCAATAAATCATTTCTTATGTCGAAGTAAAAAAATTAAGTTTGCGAAATAAATTCATTACATTTATAAAATAAAAAGATTATAACACACTTCCTCATCAATAGAGAAATATTTCTGTCGAGAAAACCACGATGAAGTAGTAAGAGATAGTAATACGAAAAAAAAGTGTGAACTTTCTTAAAATAAACAGTACTTTAAATAGTACTATAGAATGTTTTAGTGTAAAAAATAAAGAAATTTTAAGTAAAATAATTGTTTTCTTTGAACCAAACAATAAATTATTTGAACCGAAGTAAATTATTTGGACCAAATAGTAAAATTATTTAAAAAGCCAAATAAAATTTACATTAAAACTTTAATTTACATTAAAACTTTAATTTTAATATTTCTAAAAATATTTCTAAAAACACAGAAATTAAACTCTAACAAAGAACACATAAAAGTTTTAACTTTAATTTCAAATATTTTCACTCACAAATGATCAATCTTTTTTTTATTGTACGAGCAGTGTTAAATAATATTTTAATTTATATATTGTGCAAGTTTCAATAAATTTTTAACAACATCCATCTCGCTATCTCCTTAAGCAAAAGTATCTTATTATCATGACCCTCCGCGTTCAAACCTCGAATAGGTCGAATGGTTTTTGGGTGAAACATGCAGTTGATTAAGTATTGATAATCTTTTAAAAACGTTGTTTGATTGTTGTATTCAGGATCGGCGATCGAGAAATTATGCGAGTGCGCCATGGAGGACAGCCTGGCTGATCGAGGCTCTGTCGTAAGAGCTGCCAGATGTCTTCTAGGCTCGGTGACAAGAGTTCTCCTTCTGGCAGACATCGTCGTGGTCAAGCAACTGCTTCTCGCCAAGGATAAGGTCGCCCGCAGTCTCGGGCGCCTCGAAAGCGTCTCCAATTTCACCGAATTCGTCAAGGCGTTCAGCCAATTTGGAGCGGAAATGGTCGAATTAGCACACTTAACGGGCGATCGTCAGGTAAGATTTATATCCCGTGACATTTGGGCGCTGACATCTCACGATTCATTTGTCAGTAAGGATTCTATTGTGTACAATTAACTTCTACGGTAAAATCGAATCGTAAAAACTTCTGAAAACTTCTCGGATCTTTTAAGCTCTCTAGACGCGGAATTGCCAATTTTCTTTTCATTTTATACTCTTTCCCTTCTTATCAACACTTTGCGAACAGAATATATAGTTTTAATATTTTATTCAAATGTAAAATATACATTTAATAAATATATATTTAATAAATATACATTTATAATTTTTCTTAGCAGATATATATAGATTATGAAAACATTATTCCTTATGAAAGAGAACAAAATCGAATTTACACACTGAGAAAAAATATCTAAAAAATAAAAAATATTTCCTGAGTGAGTACTAATAACATATTTACTTAAAGGAATGCCACATGTTTGGAAACTTTATCGATAAAATACTAATATTTCCTGTAAATTTTATATCACATTAATTACATAGAATTACAAATATTTGTATAATGAAAGTATGTGTAAATATAACAAAAATATGTGTAAATATGCATTGATATATTATTCAATATGTGAGGAAAATAATAAAAAATTTCAAAATTAACTTTTCAAGCTGTCAGCATAAATATTAGTCTGATACAAAAGTTCTGTAGCTTGTACTGAGAGAAAAGGATGGTTAATCTAACTAAAATTATAGTTATTTTTTAACCCAACTATATATTTTTTATTGTTTTAACACGAAAATTGAAGTAGTAACATGCATATAAGATTATTATCACTAACATTACAGTAGAATTTAATAAAAAATGTTTTTTTATCATAATTTATAATTATTATTTCTCTATATGATTGTACTTACAAATATCAAATTTTTTTTTCTTACTATATCGAATGTGCGTTTGCTCTAGTAAAAAAGTTCCAAAGAATGTTGCTGTATCTTATTTTAAACTGAGTTTAGAAGCTTAAAAATATACGAAAAGTTTGTAAATAAATTTGTATATATATATATATATGTATGTATTGAGAAATAATCTCCGCTAAATATGATAAAGCAACACACGTTTATATTATATACGAATAAAAATTTTGGTAATTATTTACTTTAAAGGACACCTCGCCGATGATATTGATATATATATTGTTGAGATCAATATTCTAAGTTCGGAAAGTCTTAACTGGCAATAACTTACAGTTTATTAAAAAGTTATTAACAAAAAAAGTTTCATAATGTAATTTTCCGATACCGTGTACACATACTTAGCGAGCAATCGCTCTATCGCTCAACTAGGCTACCCAAGTTCCACGTTTCGATACATTTTCCTCTGTCTCTTCATAAGGATTCCAAAATATATGATGTTATGCAAAAATGTGAATAATATAAAGGCAATCGTATCAAAACGTTTTTTACAACTAAATTTAGAAGCTTAGAAATATGCGAAAAGTTTTCAGAAAGATTTCTATATATGCGTAATTACTTTTCTGCTAAAAATAAGACAAAAGAAAACAACATATATTTATACAAGACTTATATGTACAAAAAATATGAAAAAGGTAAATTTTTGTCTAACATGACATTTTGATAATTTCCTCTACGTTATCGATATTTTTGGAATTCATCATCCACTTTGGCTCCCTTTTAAAAAGCTTTGGCTCCCTTTTAAAAAGTTTTGGCTCCTTTTTAAAAAACTTTGGCTCCCTTTTAAAAAGAGATTTAGTAATTTCGCTATCAACACGTGTCTCGCGAGAGACTAAGGTTATATATTTGTGACAGCGATAATTCATCTTTCTTTGCTCACAGAAACAAACCAAGTTTCTCTTACATTATTACAGAGCTCCGGCACGTGTTGCACATTTCGACCGAGTTTTTACTTGCTCCGCCTAGCGCTATTTTCCCCTTACTTCATCACCCCGCGCGCAAACTACGAACCGTTTAGGAAATGATTTGTAAACACATGTTTTTAATAACTTACCACTATTGAATCGCTCTTACTATCGCAACGCGTATCAAGCTCTGCATTATTGCATAGAAGAAATACAGAGTGTTTCTGTTGGAACAGTCCGAATGAATCGTTGTAGTGAATGTGTTAATCAGACGTCATGTCTCCTTTCTCAGAACGATCTGAAAGATGAAAGGCGACGCGCGCAAATGGCGGCGGCTCGGCAAGTACTGGAGAGAAGCACCATGATGCTGCTCACATCTAGCAAAACGTGCTTAAGGCACCCTGAATGTCCATCCGCGAAGGAGAACCGAGACACCGTCTTCTGCCAGATGAGAAGAGCAATGGATCTGATACACTATGTCGTCAAGGACGGTGTATTAGATTGCAGCGAGTCGCAGTCCTACTCGAATTCACAGGTAAGCTACCTATACATTTCACAGAATGGATCGTATGAACGCCTGCAAGCTCCGGAAACATTTCTCAAAGAGATATCAACATTAATATAATTGTCTTATGTTAAATCGATACAAAAGTCATTATAGAGAGAAATTAAATCGACACAAAAGTCTTCATTATGAAGAGAAATTAAATCGTGGATTTACGAAATATTTTGTAGAAACGATTATTAATTTATATTAGATTTGATTTCCGGGTTTGAGCCACGTGGATTCTTCTTTGTTTGATTCCGATGTTTCGCGAACATTTCAGTTCGTCGTTACCGCAAAATTGAATCGCGAAATCGGTCATTAAGTAGCGATGCTAAATAATCGAGGAAAAAATATAATAATAATGAAAATGACGACCAATAAAACTAACAAGACTCTCAGATAAACAATCAACAGAAAACGAACGATCAATAGCAAGAAACAGAAACAAACGATCAAAACGCAAGATTTAATTTACAATATCTATTCAATCGTTAAATAAATCTCAATCATTTAAATGAAATATCATTATATGAAATATATAAAAATGGAGCATCTAAGATCTTTAAGAGAATCGCCTAAACAACCTCATGTCTTCTTGAGGTTTAGGTTGTCCAGTATGTAATGTTCTTTTATGTATCTGAAGTAAAAACAATTATTTTTTAAAATTTGATACGGAATAATCATGACATTTTCAACACAATATTAATAATGCACACTGTACGTATGCATATACACAAATTAAAAAAAATACATATAGGTTATGTTAGATTAAGTTAAATAGTACAGAATTACAAAAATCAAAAATTGAAAAAAATATGCGTATAGAAAACAAGAAGTCAGAAATAAAGATTTTAGTAAAAAAAACTAATCCGCCATATTAAGTCCGTTGTTTTGAATTTTGAAAATTGGACTTTAGATTCGATTCAACAACCTCAAAAACGTATAAGCAAAACTATTGAGTAGAAAAAATATGCATCTTAAAGTTTAAGCTCAAGTTAAGAATTGATCGACATTTGTAGAAACGTGCATAAATAGCTTTCGGAAATTAGAGTCTGCATGGGTTCTTATTGGCTTTCTTTTCGTTTCCCGTTAAAATTAACAACCGACGAGAACGCATAGCCTTTCGCGCTTCGCGAAATTACTCGCCAAAGAAATGCCGTAATAATCGCGGTTGCCAAACACGCCATGTTGGCCACCCGAGAGCATCCATACATCCCTCATTGTTCCGGTTGCATCGAACACGCATATACGTCCATATTGTAAGGATCAGCGAGGAAAAAGCCGTGTATAGAGGAATGTTTCCGAAAACTTGGAAGCGTTCCAAGGAGAGCATTTGTCTGCCAAATTATAATTTACGTATCGCTCGCTTAATGCACGATATAAACGACCTTGGACCGGGTGCGTCGGTGCCCTTGCAAAAGTTGTAAACGAGATATCGAAACAACCCTCCCATATACCTCCGCGACTCAAGAAACCATAAATAATGGCATGATGTCTGACCTAGCATGAAATCGATAGAGGGCGAGTTGGAAGACGATAGAGGGATCGGCAGAATATGTCCCGCGAATATCAATTACGATCACGACGCTTGTACAGTCGATTATTTACGACGATATTACGACCTCGAGAAATTTATGTGCACGCCGATAACGGGTTTATTTTAAATGTCCTCCATGTTCGTACATGCTAACATGTTCTTTGTACCATTAACATTGTTCGTTGCGAGTTATCGGCGGCGACCAGAAATCGAAAATGTCTTTAGTAAGGCATATAACGCGAAGCGTGCATTCAACACGACCCTGTATGGAAATTTCCCAAATATTTTCAAGTATAGTATATATTCCGATTAGATTATTCAAACTTGTTGCAAATAGGTACAATAAAAAATGTTGTGTTAAATTTAACACATTTCACGTGCCCCAATTTATCCACTTAAACTTTTGTGTTAATTTAGCACAAGACGAATATGTTAAAAAATAATACAAATGCTAGAAATGTAAGAAACTAACACATAAAAATTACCGACACTATCTTAAAGCAAATTTTACATAAAACTGACATATTTAAAATGTTAAATATATCACAACAAAAATGATATTATCACAGTAAGAAAAATATTCTATTATCCTTTTTTATTGCATGCTTTTAAAGTGATTTAAAGTTACCAGTTATCAGCTTTTAAAGTTATCAATAATTTTATATAAAATATTCTTAACTATATATACTCTCCAATTGATTCAATTGATATCATATTTAGAAAATTTACTGGCTATAGAATCAAACTTAGAAACTCTGCTTCTTGAATCATTTTACCTTATTTATTTCATCATTTTAATCTTGATTGTAAATACACTTTTTATTATATATATCGTAAGATGGCAAAAATATAATTTTTTCGTAAAATTAACATCTATAATACGTTAATCTATATTAAAATATAAAATGTATAAAATTTTAATATTTATATATGTAGAATTTTTTAATTTAATATAAAACATATTAGAATAACACAAACATAATTGTTAAATTATCACACAGATATGTAAAAATTTAACTGAAAAATATTAACAAAGACTATTTTTAATATAAATGTTTTTTACTGTGGTATATTGCGATACCAATTGGAGGAATTCCATTTTTATTGCAAATATAGAAATCTTGAGATTTAATTGGGTTCTGTTCCAATTTCCCAAAAATGATTAAAGTTATGATTCTAAGTGGCAAACACAAAGCTGCAGAAGAAAAGCTGCATAAAAAAATCAAAAGAAGAGAGGAGATATAAAGATTAAGAAAGTAATAATTAATACTTTTATAATTAGGATTTATAGAAATATATAGAAATACAAAGTCAGTTTATTTTAAAATATATAGACTATTATATTATTATTCTTATATATAACTTACAAACTGTTATTGTAAATAATTATAATACACCTAAATGTTTAATACGATGTTAAAATTTTTTATATTTAAAGTAAACATATATCAGATGCGTAAATTAATTCGGTGCTTTTTTTGGAAGAATTAAGCCTTTATCTACAAAAAAAAACATAAAAAATGTCAATGTTCGAAATATTTGCTAACATTTCCTAGTATTTTTCTTTATCTATCGAGAAGCACTGACAAATCTCTTCTCGAAAAAAAAAAACAACGGCTCTGAATCGATGAAATCGTCGGTGCATTTTCGAATCTCTCCCACGCTTTTAAAGTGTGTATCAACCAGGTGGTGTTGGAGCGATTGTAATAGATGCTAATCCGAACGGACTGGGTCCAGTGAATAAGCCGCATGAGGAAGAACTTTCTAGCCCAACGAATAAGTAGTATCCTTCGTCCTTTTTGAGATATGCGGCCGAGCGTTATCGTGCTAAAGACGATGCTGAGTCTCATGACCAGTAAACGGTTTTTCCTATCTATTTCGTCGCTCAAAACTGATTATTATTTGTAATACTCATTATTTGTTTGACCAGATTGCAACTACTCATAATGTATCATCCTCATATCCTACTAAATAGATAAAACTTTTTATGTGTGAATATTAAATTTCGTAGTCGATATCAACGACCAGGATCAATCCGATCCACGATTTTCTTCTTTAAGAATAATTCTATTCTGAAAGCTATTTTTCATCACCAGTAATAATTTTGTACAAGAAGTCCTGCATTCTGTATCTTGTTAGCAAGAACATCGCCATTTTAAACTCTCAACCTCTGCTTGGTCTTCGGGCTAAACTCATGCGGAATCTATCAGCCTAGTTTTTTAATTCTTTCTAGCTTATATCAGCGAACGGAAATTGATTATCGGGTTATTCCTAATTGTAACGCAAGCTCATCTTGAGTCTGAGCAAAATTTTTGTTCGACAATCACTCCTTGTCTTCAAATTTTTTCGACGCGCCGGGACGTTACTCTTCACTGGTAAAACAGAAATCACTATTCCAAAACTTTAAGTGCCATTTTTTACAGATGTTACGCATGGCAGTACCTTTACTCAAAGCTGAGTAAATCATATTTGCAGCTTTGGGCATTTTTTCAATTGGAAAGCAAAAAGAATGTAGTATCTAATATGCTGCTTTTTGGGCGTTGTCGTGTTTGATATTGTTTTGAAATTATGTTAGGTTTGTTCTTTTCAGCTAAACTGTCTAAACTGCATTAAGATACATTAAGATGATAATTAGAGGGAGATAAATATATTTGTTTAACTTATTGTACCAGTCTGTACCAGTTAAGATAGTTCAGCTAAAAAGAACAGATTGTCAGCTTCGCCAAGTCATATAGCGCATTTTAAACCTTAAAGTTTGCACTTTAAAATCCACTAAATGGCAGGAAAATATTTGAATTTAAAAAGGAGATATGATTGATTAAAAGTACCGAATTAATATGCACATATAACAATATATATTATTTTATAGGAAACATTTAAAATTTATTTAAAAAAGAGATTGAATAAAATACTTGAAAAAATTAAATATTTATATTTCTTAAATACTTGTGTTTGTAAAGAGTATGTGTAAATACTTGAAGCATCGCAGATATTTTGTTTAACATAAATATAAAATAAAAATCGAAAAGAAAGAACACTTTGAGGAAACGCATGCGCGTTCGAGAGAAAATGCAATTATTTGAGTTTTTTACTTAGAAACGCATTTTTGAAAACCTAATCCGAAATTACCCTTCTATAATCCGAATTTTCTTAAATTTTGGAAACAAAATCCATGTTTTTTTTTTAATCACAATGCTTCTAATTAATTAATGATTTGATTAATAACTCAAAATATTACGTGATTGTTTAAAATAATAGAGGAATTTTGTATTCAGTTTAATGAGTTCTACCTGCACTCACAATAACGAATTGTCGGAGACACTTGATATAATTTTATATAATTATACATTATTTTTTCCCTGACAATAGGGACAGTACTTTCCCGGAAATATTATAAAGTTATTTGAAAAGATTTCCAGTCAGAATTGTTAAATTATTCCCTAGATTTCTATTATATTTTCTGGGGAAAACGGAATTATTCTGATCGGAAACTTTTCCGAATAGTTCCGTAATATCTGCCCGGCTCGGTGTGCTGAGCTTCCACGAACAAAAAAGAGATAAAAGAATCAACAAACCTACACATAACAAGAAGTTACACGGGAACGGAATGTACGCGATGAGGAAAGTAGCAAAACTGACGATAAATAAAACCACGAATTTCAGCAGTTCGATGTGAAATTAAAATGGGCCACTTTGTACGATGAAATTGTATCGTCGTTGGCACATGGGAGAAGCGTGTATTCACGATGATACCATTGGAAAGAAGTAGCTCATGCGAACGGAATCGCAAATCGTACATCACGACGCGACTCTTCTCTCAGGGTCGAACACGCACTGAAAATCGGAGGCGAAAAATCGCGAGCGATTTGCGACGTCCCGCGTTCCCCAGTGAAATAGGGTAATTGCCGGCACGATTCTGGAGCCAAAGATTTATAAAAGTCCCGTCTGGCCGTTATATTAAAAAAGAGGGACAATGGCGATAGTTTTTATGGGCGCGGCGATGCGAAATCGCATCGTCGTCGATAAGTGGCGCCGGAACGACCGTAAAGATTGCGAATGGTCAGCCGCGCCGTGCCAAATTGCGCGCTCACAATTTGCATATCGACGCTTTCGGCGCGCCGTACACTTTAATTCCGTGCCAGATATTCCTCGCCGGCACTAAATACAGACATAGGAGAATATCCTGCGCCGCTCTCTCTCTCTGCTCTGTTGCTTCCGAACTGATGCTGCCGATTTCGTCGAAGAAGTGACACGCGCGTACAAGAGAGTAGAAGAGATTGAAAGACAAGGAGAGGGAGAAAGAAAGACAGAGAGAGAGAGAGAGAGTCGGGTCACGACGAGGGACCTTTACGCGAGTAACCGTGCTAGAAAAATATATAGTCACCCTTGTATTTTACACTTAAGTACTATCCACTCTCTCTTCTCCGCACGATATAGTCGATTCCGTAGTGATTGTAGACAACCTAGCCAAAGTGAAACGCTCCGGAGCGTGAAATGTTACCAAAGATTCGACAGCATTCGTGCTGTCTTACGCTCTACAATATTGGAAATTTTTCAAACTTTTACAACAGCAATGTTAAAACACATACGTGATTGAGTTATTTTCGTGACTGAGTTACTCCAGAGAGAAAGGGAGTGGAGGGGGAGGAAGGGAAGGAGAGGAAGAGGGAAAGAGAGGAGAAAGAGAGATATATATATTCTAGTTGACGAATTTTTTTACGATCGTGCGGCCCACGCTGTTACTTACAGAGTCCTCAGCAAGAAGACTGGGACAGTAGTACCGTTTGCTCGGCATTGAAACACTTCGAGAGGCTCGTTGAAACAACGAGGATGACCCTGCTGGGACCAGGCTGCCGCGAGACACTTACGTCCGCACTTGACACGGTGGTGGAGAGAACGCAGGACTTCACAGACAGCGCCTACACGAGCCATGAACACCGAGAAAACATCCTATTGCTTTGCGATCGCGCAAAGCTCGAGCTAAATACACTGCTACGGATCGGCAATAGTATGGTGAGTTGGTCTTCCTATCTTCTTATCTCGCAAGAGATAAGAACGCATCAGGCACTATCGAATACATGAGATATATTTAGTAATTAACATAAAATTAATTAAAGCAAGATTGTATCCTCTTGACACAAGGCAAAGTTTTCTCTACGCAAACACTTCTTGCGCTTTAGCTCTCATAAGTTCTCATAATTTTAGTAGTAATTGGATAATTAAGTTTAATTGAATCTAGTAATTAAATTCAGTGACTGTGAATTTAGTAATTAAATTCAGTAATTACATTTAGTAACTCAAATTAGTGGTACTTATATTAATCCTATTTTACTTAATTATCTAATTGCATTCTCCTAGTCTTATGTGTGTGCGTGTGTCTATACTTGTTGAAAAAGTTATCTACTAATCGAATAAAAAGTTAATGTTCAGTCGATTGTATTCGTCAAGCATTCCGATTAGAACGACCGGAATGAGTAATAATCCCCTAGTAAATCGAACGGTGATAAACGGTATGAAACGATTGACGTCGTATTCCGTCAGAATTACGAGGGTGGCGGGGGTTCACCCAGTTCAGAAATGGAACAAGCGGTGGTGGGTGTGCTACGGGCGACCAGAGACCTTCGCCAGCAACTCAGCACGACGACAATGGAACAAGCCGGTGATCTTGGACAAGTGACAAAAGCCGGCCAGGAGCTCGTGTCAACGATCAGAAATCTCGCGTTGGCCAATGACATCGACCGTCTGCAAGAGAGCAGCGACAGGTTCCACGAGTATATCGAACATATTCTCGAAGTAAGCTCCCCCGCAACGTGGCATCCACGTGTTCGCGCGTACAAGTGTCCGTTCTTATGCTTCTAAATACGAAACCTGCCATTAAAGGTCTACTGTCCATATTTCAAAAGTAATTAAAAAATTAGGAAAAATTATGAATTAATCCATATCACATTTAAAAGCAAACAGTTGACATTAATTCAAAGATTAAAAATTATTCCATTTTTAAAGATGGCATCAAATAATGTCTTAATATTGCATTAAGAAGATATGCGACCGGACGCTGTAAAAATTTTTGCGTTTTTACATTGACTACACCGAATCAGGAAATTTCTTTCGCACGCTAAAACCCTTAGAGTATGGAGCAGTGCGGAGCTGAACGCTTCATACAATTCCGTACGGATACTCATCTGATTGTTCCTATTTTATGTGGCTACAAGCCACAACGACGGTTTCCACCGATTAAATATATACACCGATGGAGAAAAGTACTAGGATATCACTTGCCTGAATATGGTTGCCATGATAAAATATTAATGTTATTTTTCACCCTTATATAGAAGATATTTGTAGTAACTATAGTACTTTGGAACTGGTCTTCTTTGCTGCCTGTTCATACGTGTTTGAACGATACTATCAGTGATGTGTGGCGTAACTAAACCCCATCGATTTCTCAACCATAGTATTTGTTCTGCAAACCACAACAGAGAGATAGCAATATTCCGTTGGTTGAGGCAACTATATATATGAGGATGTACTAACTGAGAAGATTACGTATTATAAGAACTGTCGCTGTAAAGAACTGATAGACAGGTATATAATAACAGCAAGCTTTTAATATCATATCTATTTAATTTGAAATCACGTATTCTCTTTAAGAATACGTGAATGTAACAACCATAGCAGTTCTCTTAGTGCTTACAATACTCTAAGGGTTAAAATACACGTTCTAAGAAAATCACAATACTTTTAGCGAAAACGAAAAAAATTAAAATCAGCTGTTAACTTAAGGTTTCTTAAAATAATTTCTACTTTATATAAAAGTATAATTCTACGATTAGCACATAAGAAAGAAAATGAAATTTAGAGAAAGCATCAAATGTCAAAGAAAACTGCGTACATAAATTTCAAATATAAAGATGTAGGTAAAAAAGCGGTTTAGCTATACATAGTTAATTCACGGATACTGCGTTAGCGGTGTTAGTAAATATACATATACACACATATTAACATAAGTCTAATATGTATACACACATACTATATGAAGTCAAGCAAAACATCACTAACGCCTCTCATATGATTCTATGTAAAGAATTGGAATTAATTTTGACCGGACTTTTCAAGATTATTTTAAGATCAAGTAAATATTACTATCTTTTTTTTATCACGATATCCTACAATTTCTATTCAAAACATTTTTTTATATCTTTCTTAATTTCTGAAATATTCAACTATATCGATTAAAATGGGACACTTTATATTATATTTCTATATCAGTACGATTTAAAATATTCTTAAGTAGAGTGACATCAAGTCATGTATTAATGACATATTATTGACGTTAGAGACGTCATTAAAGATCTGCAAAAATCATGATAGAAATCTCTCGCAGAGAGCCACGAAATAGGCAAAAGTATTTAACGTATCTTATACAGAAAGAAAATCATCTTACATTTATAATATTTATAATATTTATAATCAAACAAAAAGGAGAAATATCTACAAAAAGCTATACCGTGTTTTCTTAGAAAAAATTATTTGAATGAATATTCGGAGTACGGTGCAGCACAAGCATCTATATTTTTATTTATTACAAATTTTCAAAAGTCTAAATGCAAAACTGGGCTTTGTAGCACTCTTACTACTTATGTAAGATATCAAAAAAGTTTGGTAAGCAAATATATCGGTGAAGCGAAATATGCCAAATTATCATGGAAAGTGTACCCAACTGTACTAATCTGCAGCTGTTACGTCCGCGCTGTATTAGTATTCGTGTGTGTATGGATATACATTTACACACATAAAACGGTATTTCGCGCTCTCACCGCATGAAGCCTCCATAGTCAAATCAGGATTTGCTTTTTGACTCCTGCAGACCCTTAAGGAGATGTCTGAGTACTTTCAGTAGCTATAGAATGTAGATAAAAAGGAACAACGTACCATATACATAGTAGTAGTTTACGGATACTGAATTATATATTTTGCAATATGTCATTAATACATGACTTGATGTCACTCTGCTACTTAAGAATATTTTAAATCGTACTGATGTAGAAATATAATATAAAGTGTCCCATTTTAATCGATATAGTTGAATATTTCAGAAATTAAGAAAGATATAAAAAAATGTTTTGAATAGAAATTGTAGGATATCGTGATAAAAAAAAGATAGTAATATTTATTTGATCTTGAAATAATCTTGAAAAGTCCGGTCAAAATCAATTCCAATTCTTTACATAGAATCATATGATTTTTTAATATAAATAAATTTCTTTGGTATTATTCATTCTGCATACAAAAATACTAGGATCATTGAGAAATGAATAATTTTCGAGATATTTTACATTTTGTCTCAATATCATGTTTTTCAGCATGAAATATGAAATATCTCCTAAAATTTCCACATTTTTCAATAATCTTACCCTAATATTTTTGTACACAAAATAATGAGTAAAATCAATCTTAGAAACTTAAAAAAACAAGCGAATATATATATAAAATTTCTATGTAATTAAATTCTAAATACCGAATCTCTTTTCTCTCCTCTGCAGGTGTGCAAACTTCTCAGACACGTTGCACTCTCGGAATCGCTGCAAGTGTCGGCGAAGTTTACGGAAATCAACTTGAGAATATACGGCCCTCAAGTAGTAACAGCCGCGCACACGTTGGCCAGGCATCCCACTAGTAAGATAGCCAAGGAAAATCTTGAAGGTAAGTTCGATATAAAATTTAAAGTTAAGCAAATATCATGGCAAAATTTCGTCGCAAATCCATCTCATGTTTTCGCGTATTTTACAGTATTCGCCGACATGTGGCAGTGGCTCATGACTGACGTAACGACAGTGGCGAAAGATGTCCTAGAACTCAGTCAAAACCGGCCGGAGAAGCAAGTTTACATGTCTTTACCGCGACCTGGGGTACGTAAATAATAATTACCACGCGAAACAAACAGACATATTTAAACAATCAGTATATTCTATTGATAATAAATCTATTTTAATAATAAACTAGTACATTTTTTGAATGACATTGAATTTACAGTCAAACTTTTCTTAGCAAAAATGTCGAGATACCAATAGTTTCCAAATTTATATTAAAAATAACTTTCTGGAGAAAAATTGAATAAAATAATTTTTATAAAATTGTTAATTTAATAACTTATAAAGTTTTAATTTAATCTTTATTTCAATAGTGATATAATAATTTTTAATTATTTTAATTTGTTAGCAAAATGTCACTGCACTGAGAGAAAAAATATCTAAGAAATAAAAGTATTTATTCAGTGGATACTAATATAATAACATATATATATTTACTAATATAAAACATTTTTCAAATGAGGAAATACATTTTTTTAGAATTTTAGCTTTTTACGAAAGCAATTGTTTATTACATTTAAATAAAAGAATTTAGATTTAAGTAAACATGTAATTAATATCACAGAAAAAAAATTAATTGCGGTAGCAAGAAACTGAGTGATAGTTAAATCTCGTTATTGTATATAGATAGCTACCAGTATAGCTGCTAGTAGGCATATATTCAGCTACGAAACCGATGTAGTAGCAACAGTAACAAAAGTTTTATGGCAGTAAATTTTTGGTTACAGCTACAAATACATTTTCAGCAAACCATGATTAGCTACGGCAAAGAAGCCATTTTTTCCATATATCCACGGAATAAATACTTTTTTATTTATTAGATATCTTTTCTCTCAATGTACTTTGGTTACTTTCCAATTTTTTTTTTAATTACGTTCGATTGGATGATACTTGTACACATCTGACAGTAGAATCAATTAAGTCGACAAAACGAGACGAGACAAAACGATGAGCAAACGTTGCAACATTTCAGAAACACGGTACGACAAGCAAACCGTTGAAGCCGGTGCGATTAGACAGCGAGGAGCAGGCAAAAATCGCCAAGGCGGGCCTCGAGATGAAGCTGATCACCTCGGAGATGGACGCCGAGACAGAGAAGTGGCAGGAAAGCGGAAGTGCCCTGGAGGAAAACAACGACATCGTGAAACGAGCAAAGAACATGTCCTCGATGGCGTTCTCTATGTATCAGTTCACGAGAGGCGAAGGCGCCCTGAAGACCACCCAGGACCTATTCACCCAAGCTGAGTATTTTGCCGAGGAGGCGAACAGATTGTACAAGGTTGTGAGACAATTCAGTTACCAGGTACGTGCCGGCTAGCACGCCGACGTAGATCGAAAAAGAAATGACACACATTTTTATATATAATTGGACTGATGTTGATATATATTATATATATACATCACCCTCTTTACTTACGATCATTCTTTTACCATTATTTATTATACGGACTCTATATTGGACTTGATTCCGAGTTTCTTGATCCTTGCTATATTGGGAATCTTTTTACTTACATTACGCTATTGAGTTTCGTTTTTTCGTAAGTCGCAACGTCGAAGCTGCATCGAGTCTGCGTCGACTTATTCACTTAATCATTAAGTGCTACCGATTAACATTATTACTAAAGATTTTCTGGTGAAGGTTAATGAATTAATTTCATTGGCTACGTTCAGCAGAGAAAGCTGCTTTGCAACTGCTGTAAAATTCGTGAACCTAATTAGGGTGTGCTCTTCATCTTGGCTGAATCTAAGAACATATATATATATATCAGATTCACGAATTTTACAATAAATGTAAACTAGCTTTCTGTACTAAACGTAGTTATTATCACTTCGATGTGTCGCACAACGGGAACCTCAACGTATGTAGAACAGAATACGTATAAATTTCATTTGTATTACGATACGTTGAAAATAGATATACGTCAATATGACACTTAATTGGGAACTGTCGAAACCTCATTTTTATCCAAAAGACGCAAAGGTAAAAATTGATAAGATTTCGTAAATTTGCCCTAACCGATAGGTAACTGTGAAAAAAAGAGAGAGGAAGAAAAAGAGAAAAATAGAGAGAGTGGGCGGGGGGAGGGGGGAGGGAAAAGATTAAAAACTTGGGAGACCTTAAGTAAATTGAAAGACGAAAGGTGTCGCGCTTGTATATGTGAGAGTATCACTTAACGCTACTATAGACTAGAAGTAGCTTCGACACGCGTGATTAGCATTAGATATGTTCGAATTAACACGTTTGCTGCCCTTTCGACCCTCCTAGCTAGAGGCCGGACATATATATATAGTCACCTGAAACCATTTTGATCTCTCTATACTCTTCTTAAGAGAAACAACAAAACGCTAACCTTGTAATATATTCTGTATTATACGACCCTTTTTACCCTCGCTCTTGAATGCCTCTATCCAGGTAACTTTTTCTCTCTTTACTTTAGACCCTTTTGGACTAATAGAAATTACTTTCGCCTTATAAAAATCTCATTCTCATTGCCATATATACATATATACATATATAGCGCTCTCTCTGCGCCGTCATTGCTCCACTGTTGTTAAATGTTGTCGTTACATTGTACATACTATCTCTCTCTCTGTATATACGTACGTATATATTGCTATGCTAACATCACGCACGTAGGGTCGCCTGTCGATCATTACGAATGACGTAGAAAACCGTTTTGTTTCGGGGAATGTAGATGAGCGTAAAGGAGAAATGTCGGAAATGATCCTAAGTAAGTGCCCTAAACGATAATAATCGAGAAAGGGCCACGGACTGATCATCCCATCGAACTGACGTGACGATTCATTGCATATTCGTACGAGAATCACGTTCGTAGTAGCAAGTAATGGTTGAAACTCATACGGAACATGGAGCTGTTCCTTGCCTGTAACATTTTGCAAGACGTGATTCTCGGTGTAATATAATCCAACTGCTGTTCAACGAAAACGCATAACGTATGTTACGTTTGCGCATCACGTCATTTGAATTGTCACAATGAACATTCACGATTTTGTTAGCGAATCTATTTTGTGTACATACATTTACGACTCTTTTGTGTACGATTAGTAAGGTGTGTTTTAGATGCTACGGGAATGCTTCCGTCTATGGACGACGTCTATGTGCATTGTGGTCCCTCTCCTTCCACTATCTGGGGCATGAGTATTATGTCTCAAAGTTTCTGCCAGCTTCCAGCATTGCGTACCGTCGCTTTTTCTTTTACTCAATGTTTGAGAATTAAGTTTTGCGATAGTTTACCGCGTGAGACTATATACATATTTAAAAAAACGAAATGTTAACAATTAACAAACAAATGTAAATATCTGAAAGGTTTATTTGTCTTTTCTCAAACGTTGGTGCTTATACGATCGAGCATTCATAAAACGCACGCCTTGTAAAAAAAATAATCTATACGAAGGAAGCTCGCAAAAACGACAAGGTCTGTACTATTTCACTGCCACTTCACACAAGTCACTCTGATATTTATCTCGAGCAACTTTTATGTTCTGTTGAAAGTCTTGCATTGTGTTCTACTAGGACAGATAGACGATCTTTCAGTTAACTTCTTAGATGCAAACTTCTGAGTATCTACGATACGTAATACTACAAAGTGTTTATTATTAGCCATTCAATAAATTGCAAACAATAGAAACAGGCATTGCTTTACAGAATCTCGAAGAAATGCGCTAAATATGAACAGTAGTGGCATCGCAAGGTAAACATGTTCATAAATTCTCAACGATTATTAATACGTAATCTCGCTCTTTTTATTATTTACTTCGTAATAATATCACAACTACATTATAACAAGGGTAGATATAATGGCAAATGCTGTAAACTTTTTACAAACTTACATAATTGATATGATACGCACCTAAACGTTTTAACACGACAATTACATTAAAAGAATAATTTTTTGCTACACGAATAAATAAAAAAATACGACAAGTTAGAATATTTACTCATTCGTGCAGGATAAGTCACCTAATAATAGATTCTAAAATATTTCTATTTTTTTTTTATATATTAGAAGAAAGTATGTAAGAAATAAATTGTGTGATTGGAAAGATTAATTGTAATCACAATATTTATCCCTTCCAACCACGCAGTTTTTTTTTTTCTTCTTACACATTTTTCTCCAATATAAAAAAGACAACAGGAGTATTTTATAATCTAACCTTAAATGACTTACTCTGTATATTTATTTTTTGATCAATCGTTGAAAAAACACTATATTAGCTTTTTGCATAGTATTAAAATTATACTCGATAATCAGAATCAACGATCGCATACGGATTTATTAGCTCACACGCATTACCAGCAAGTGCCATTTTCGAATCGCTGAGAATTAGGCGTGAGCAAGTTTGCCTTGCGACACGAACGAAGACGTAAGTTTGTGTACGATGTTACATGGGCGCAGGTACCCGGTGGGCCGCACAAGAAAGAACTGTTGGAGAATCTGGACCGAGTACCGACCTACGTCCAGCAACTCCAGTTTACCGTGAAGAACCCCACCGTTGGCAAGGCCGCTACGTTCACAAAAGTCGACAACGTCATACAGGAAACGAAAAATCTCATGAATGTGATCTCGAAGGTGGTCACAACGTGCTTCGTCTGCGCCACAAAGGTGAGCCGCGGGCATACGCGATACGCCCGATCGGTCTGTTTATTAAGTAGACAAAGACGCACGTTTGCGCACATTTCTTTTATTACTAAGTTCGTTTGTATCGGATGTATTTGCACTACTATCGATAAGAATCACTCTCGAGCGGTACGAGAATACTTTCATTCATTCTCATGGAACTTTGATATCGTGTTTCTCATTAAGCATCTGCAAATATGACAATTTCTGTACTTACAGGTAATAGTTTGTGCCTTCCAGAATGATTTAACAATACGAACAGAGAAGTCGTACTTAAAAATTATTCGTAGTAAATTATACCGAGAAAGAAAGAGAGAGAAAGAAAGATAGAAGGAGAGAGAGAAACGATGGAAATCGTCTATTTATCCTGTGCGAGTAGTTGTTACGCTAGACCGTTTGCCGTCATCAGCAATCGAATGTTAGGGTAAAACTAAGGTGATCAGATTTTCCTAGCCCTAAATCTGTTGCACTTAAATATGTCGGGGGGTGAAGGAGGAGAGTTAAGAAGTCACTGAAAATTATCAATATATATGCATACACTTATGAAACAATATTTTAATTATAGATAGATATTTTATTTATTTATATTTTATTTTAAAAAAATTAACAACAGTAAATACGTACAAAATATATATAAAAATATAAACTATTGCTAAAATAAAACCGTTGTTATTTTTATAAGAGAAAGGAGAGAGTTAAAAAGTCACTAAAAATTATAAATATATATATATATATATATATATATATATATACACTTTTATGGGACAATTTATTTACAGATATGAAAAACAATTTAATAATAAAGACATACAGTAAAAATAGAAGCTATTACTAAGATAAAACTATTGTTATTCTTATTTCAAAATAAAAAGAACAAGCAAAGCTATATTATATCTTATTACCAAAGTTGTGAATATTCTTGAGCTCTTTTTTTGTCAGAAGTATCTTAAAAATCTTCTATGAACTGATAAATCGGGACAATATGAATTCGATACAATTCGGTGATCCGGATAGCATTCGAAAAATCCGAGACTATCCCGAGAAAAACGAGATATCTAGCACCTTAGTAAAATATACAATTATTGATCCTCCTTAGTCATTGACACTCTAGAAAAGCTTGGTTTTTCTTGCGACCAGTGCTGGTTGTTCTGTTTTAATTGTGAAGTTCTCTTCTAGAATCATTGAGTGCAGACAAGAAGTTTAACTGCAATGCTGATTGCATCGAAAACCAGTTTTTCTATACCGATAAAAAATGTTGTGATATTTGTAACTATAATCACAATAGAGAAATTATTACAATAATTTATAGTCACACAAGAGAACTATTTTTAATTAAATTTTACTATAATGTTAATGATAATAATTTTATATGCATGTTACTATTTTCATATATTAAAATAACCCAAAAAAAATGAATGGAGCCAAAAATAAGTGCAATGTCAGTTAAATCAGCTATTTTTCTCTCAGCGTAGAGTGTCAATGACTAAAGAGATATCAATAATTGAATGTTTTGCCTTACATCCGCTTTGGTGAGTCGAATAATACTCGACGGTGATCTCATAATAATTGAGACGCGGTGTTTCACGAGCTTCCGTGTTCTTGCCAAAGTCATGACCGGAACGTATTCGCGTTCAGGTATTCGCACAGGTGCGCGCGCGCGAACACGCAGTCGCAGAGACGTCGGGAGCCAGACGCGTTAGAGACTAAAAATCGAGTATACATCTGTCCTTCCGTTTATTCACCGCCTAGCACAATCTCGTGATGCCGCAATATGTGGAGCTCAGCCCGACGACGTTGCCTGGCCAAGCCGAAGAGGACTGTTTGTACCCGATTAGCCCGCAGTTGTTACCCTCCACGAGTCCCTACGTGCAACCCCATCCGCTCACATCCGCGCAATTTCACAGTATTCTGAAACCGCCCGGCCTGAACCTGGCTCCCTTCAACTACGCCACCCTGCCGAACATGGCGACCACCGCCAACGCGGCGTCTCGGAATTCCACCTCCTTTATACATCCGTCCGTTTTACCGTTCACGACGTCCGGGCCACCACAACCGCAGCCGTACTGCCTGCAGAATCTGCAGCTCCTGCAGCTGCAGCTGCACCACGCACAGCTGCAGCACTTAAGACACGCAACGCTACCGAGATAATACAGCCACCTTGTAATGTGTCGTGCCGTGTCGCACACACGTGGCACGGGTCACCGTCGAATACGTATCACGCGCACGCACACGTCGAGAACACTACACGTTCTTTCGTACAGGTTCGACCTTGGTTTCGTTTCAGCTTTTCCGTTGCTTCCGCGCAATTTCCACCCTTGGTTCGCATCACGCATGGCGGATCGAATCGTTTAGTCGTTATCTCGACGACAATAACAATGCTACGTAATTTACGAATCTCGCATATATTAATAGAAAAAGTGGTACCTGTGATTATACAATTGCACTGTGAAGTAATTACTGTCAATAAAATTGTTTTAGTAGTAAGTACCACTATACACACAAGGAGAGAATTTTATAAAACAATAATTTCATATAAAAGATATATAAATATACTCATATTTTTATAAAATTTACATATATTTTATATATATATATATATAATTTATATATAATTCTATTTTATCTATATTTACATAATATAAATTTTATATTAACAATTTTTGTGAAATAATAAAAATAATAAAAAATTATAAACATTACTGTAGAATTTCGTAATTGAGAAACATATTGACATTCTATTTTAATTTTTCATCCTTTTGTTTTTCATATGTATTATTTATATTTTAGAAAGTCTATTTTACAAAAAATTTATAGTATTCCTTAGAAAAACTTTAGTGACAGAATACTTCTGTATTACAAGAAAACCTGGCAAAATTAAAAAGCATTTATATAAAAAAGTTATATAGAAGAGACCGGGTCTGGTTGTCACACTTTTTGCATACTGATTAAAAAAGAGATGTATACAATATTTTTTTTAATATTATGTACATTTTCATATAAGTACAACCTTTAAATAAAATAAAAAATAATATCGTTATGTATCTTTATACACAAAAAAGTTATTAAAGTTGTGCAAATATGACTATCCACCTCATATCCAGAATTGGTTATCACATATCTTTGATGAAAAGGAAACAGATTATTTCTGTTTTAAGGTTTTAAGTGTTTTATTAAAGTTAGTGATATCTTATGATCAAATACAATAAACAGTCATTAAACTAAAAAGATAATAATTATCATAACAACATATACTTTGTAACAATAATTTTGAGCTACAGGATCTTATATGTAGACTCTGTGACAACTGGCACGTGTCTTTTATAAACCCAGTCTGCTCTAGTATTCTCTCCGTGTAATGATAATTATCTTATATACATATTCCTATTATTTTTCTTAAAATAAAAATAAAAAATTAGCATAAAAAATTGTTATTAGGAAAAATTTTAAAAATATTAGCATAAAAATTGTTATTAGAAAGAATAATTATAATTCCTGCGAGATGAATCATTATTTTCTCTCTCAGTATAACGGAAAGTAATTTCGCCGAAATTACGACGACACGATCATCCGTCTTATAGCTTCTAGCTTTTTCGCCGGCTTGTTAATGTAGGTCTTGACATAAGCTTCCTGCAGATTTTTATTTTTTAATATAACACACGCAAAGAGTTCGCTTTCATATAACGATACACAGCGTGACCATCGTGACAAAACGTACCCAAGAGAACACAATCGTAATAATAATAATCGACTAAAATTAATTCATTTTCAGCTACCTTTGCAGGAATGGCTACGATGTATTTCGTAATAAAATCTAATAGTTTTTTCTAATATAATTCCTCGGATACTCTGACAAATATGTATCTTTGTGGAACTAGAAAAAATTCTCATGCTCTTTGCTCAGTAATAAACTAACGAACTATCACCATTAAAAAATTATACGAAATAAAGTATACATATATAAATTATACTATATAATATGTATACATATAATATATATAATTATATATTAATTATACTATTATATATATATATATATATATATATATATATATATATATATATATATACACACACATATAAAAAATCATATTAGTTTGTACATATTTGTCAGAGTATATGTGCGATTTTTTCATAACTAGATCACAAACAAACTCGCCACGTATGACGGCAAGAGCGTACTCCTCTACTGTGCCACAGCACGTGACACCTTCGAGAACATTAATAATTTGAACGCTAAGACACTTAAAAACACCTTTTCGAGCGTAACACTAGCCTCATCGCGGAAGAAGCTGGGAGAAGTGGAGAAACTCGTGCAAAGAATTGGCGTTCTTCGTGATAAGAACACGGTTCAGTTTTGCGCACTACGTCCTCGCACGATTCTCCTTCGGTCTCTCCAGCTTCTATCCGAACTTTCACCCTCATGACAAATCCGCGAGGTCCGCGCGAGGACCAGCATCGTGTCTGGTACGATAACTCCCTGGTCTTCCGCATCTTTTCAGTACAACCTGGATTTCCGAGGTCTGTCGGCGCGTGGGGCCGGCGGCTCGCCGTACAGGGGCGGAGATGGTGCGGGAGCTGACGGCGACGGTGGCGGAGTTGGCGTCGACGGCAGCAAGACGGGCTCCGCCCCCGGCAGCGACCCGTCCGTCTGACAGTTTGGAATGGCCCGACGGGCCAAGGGGGACGCTCGCCGCACCCGGGTTTCCTTTCTACTTTTCTAGGGAGAACCTCGCCTGCCCCAACAACAACAACACACGTATACGTCGACCGCGCGGGACTGCCGTCCGAGGAGTCCCGCGACGATCGTCGGGGACGCGGTGCTCGCAGGTGCCTCGCCTGCTCGGGATATGCTCGCTGCCATCGGCGACATATTGCGTTGCATAACAGTATTCGGAAGCTGTGGGTGAAAAGGAGTCGAAAGCGTTCCTCTGGACGCCCTCTGATGATGATGATGATAATAATTGATTATTGATTCGCGATACGTGGAGTCTCGATTTTGATCGCTTCATCGTCGACATTCGACGATGATGAAGCTTCAGTTCGATGATCTCGTGAGCGTTTGTATGAATCGAGCTATCGCGAGAGTGTCGATCGTGCGGAAAGGAACCCTCGTGGAAATGTCAAGGATGACGCTCTCATCATAACGATGCTCATCACAGTGACATTTCGGCCAGGGAAGAGTCGTAATTAGTCCCGAATAATCGTCGGCAATTGGCCAAACGATGACGCGATATGAGGAAGGCGAGGATGCGAAAAATATCGCAAAACTGTTCGGTGCGCTTCGACAATCGCCCGACGATGCTATTAATATATAGAAACAAGCTTGGCTTTAACGTCGACGTGTACGTTCCGTACAGATCACTTGGATACGTATTAATAGTCATTACCTGAAACTTGTCTCACGTGAGATGCTTAGATTTGAATTAGGCGTTTAGAATAATATGTGTGTGGTATTACACTCGTAATCGTGATTTAATTGAGAAATTCACATTTAACTCTAAATTTAGATCTAACAAGGGAACATCGCATACTCTCCCGTCGAAAATTAAGCGATCGCTAGCTTGATGGAAGCTGGCATGCTTGGAACACGTTCAGGAAGAATCTAAGTGTGCTATAGTCAGCTTTCTGCGAGTTACATTTCGATCGCTTCATTTTCAACTGGGTTAACTCACCGATTTTGACCAACAAAAATGTTTATGAATAATCTTTGTCCGATGAAATTACTTTGCAAAGCTATTCGATGCACTTCTCAGAATTTGCAGAGAAAAAATTCATAAAATTTAACACAAATACACGCCCACTACTCATAAAAGTTTTTTTTTATCAAAATCAGTAAATCAGAGTACGAGATGTCCCCTTGTATTTCATGTGACACTTAACTCCTATTAATAGTTGTTACTTGAAACTTATCTCACATAAAATACTCAGAATTTAAAGTTAAATTTGTGAATTTTCTCATATTTAATGTGTATGATGTTATATTTGTAATCACGATTCAACTGAGAGACTCAGATTTAACTCAAAATTCTAATCTCAATATCCCACTTAAGAGACAAGTTTCACCAATTATCAATACGGGTCTTGGTTGCGAGTGTATTGGTTCTTTTTTGTTGACAATGAAAGCAAGGCAAGGCAAGATCAAACGCCGCTGGTAGCGAACTGGTCCCGGGCGTGCGTGTTTATCATTTGCGAAAGCAGATAAGCGTGGGAGCGCTTGCACGGTCGAGTTCCGACGCGCGTGGCGATCGAGGCGTGGAAAAGCGGGAAAATTAAGCCGGACGAAGCCGAGCGCGAAAGTGTCGGATGAAACGGCGCGTCTCTTTCTCCTTTCCCGCGTGTGTATATGCGTGCGTTGTTGTTGCCGCTCGCGAAATTGCATTTCCCTCTTAATCGCGCGCTCTGTCCACGCGTTTCTGGTCGTTGTCAATGCACCGTTGTCGACAATTCACCGAATGTACACGGGACGAGTAGCCGGCTGACGAAATTTCGACATTTGCATTTGCAATGGCGCGGCTAAATTACACCGTTATCTTTCTCTCTCGGAACGTTTACCCGAAACGTTTCTCTGAATGAGGCCAGTACGCGCCGCAGTGTTACATTTCACTGCTGCTGCTGTTGCTACTATTGCTATTACCGTTAATGTTGATGTCGCTCTCCGCCACGCTAATAGCAATTTCACTATCGTGTTATCACACTCGTGATTTCAACGGCATACCCGAGAGCATTCTGTAATTTACGTCGGCTCGGTGAATTGCACGGTTCAACCCCAACTTATGATCGTGACTGCGAACCGCGTCAACCTGTCGGTTTGTTTGCCAAACAATACGCGCGGTGCGTTTCGCCGTGACGTCGAGCTAAAGTCGCACACGTCACATACACACACCTCCAGTGTGTGTGTGTGTGTGTCTTTGTGTGTATATGTGTGTATGTGTGTGTGTGTGTGGTGTGTGTATGTGTATGTATAAGGATACCTCGCGAAATATTTGGAATTCGTCACGTTACCCCGCGAGAACGCAGCGAAGAAAAACTTTCCCGCCAACGTATAAGTATACATATATGTCTGGCTGCGCACAAACAAATCGTTCTTCCAATCTCGAGAAGTTGGTGCAACGACAATAATTAACAATGTCGATCGCAGTGCCTTTTAGGTGTGAGAAAACGTTGAAACTTCGCCGAGGCCAGCCACCTCAGCTTCCTTGTTACGCCAACTTCGGTCAACTTCGGATTACGCGGGCGAGCGCGTTGCCATTACATGCAAAAGATCAAGATCGCGCGCTCGCGCGTATGTATGTACGTACATCTGCATGACTTTAGCTCGCGATCGTTAAACCTTTGACTCAGGCTGCACCGGCGCGGCACAGCTCCCATGGGGGCAAGGAAATGGAGGAAAGTACAATTATTTAAAAAAAAAAAAATTGTTCTTCATTATTTGCGATTACACTATACGTCAGAGCCGGATCATAGACACAGTACGTTGGTCATGCGTTGGCTTCTAAGCTGAAGCTGTTTCATGGTTGCAGCGAGATTGTTGGCTTCAGAACTAAGTCCGGAGTCAAAGGTTTGAGGCGAACACACTGCGTGAAAGTACTTACACAACTCGGAAGTCGAGCCGACGAAGAGACGCCCTTCGGACAGCGTCTCCCGATCTTGAACAGTCCACGCGCTAATGAACAAAACTTTCCGGTCTTTTACGTTGCCCGTCGCTTCGATTCGCCGGCTAATTAGAGAAATTTGAACAATGGCAGTCGAGAACATTCGTACAATTCCGCATTGTGCGAGAGGAGGCGCTCTTGTTATGTTCACTTACACAGCCTGCCATTCTTCAGATTCCTCGACACACCGTGCAGCGGCAGAATCTCGATGATCGCGGGTTCAATCAATTAAGAATAATCGTCCAGTTGAGCGTGCAAAAAAAAGGAAAGGAAGGAATCGAATTAACTCGAAGCGACGCGTCGAGATTCTGTTGTATCCCTGAAATATCGAATGGATTTCGAACTGACCTCTCAATTAAGAATCGTTCTTGACTAAAAGGGGAAAGAAGAGTCACTTTTACACAGCAGACTGTAGTGTTTGCGAAACGATAACGACGTTCACAGCTCAATCAAGCCTCCGCAGAGGTAGAAACGATACTCATGGGGTAGGAGATGGCCCATGGAAGGTGACCTGGGGGCGGCAGCAGGGCGGTCAGGGACGTACTTTGTGGCAAGGACATATATTCAGTTACCACCCGAGATCGCACGCTGCGAGGCAGCCTAGTTATCGCGCACGAGAAAGTGTCCGATTTGACGATGCGGTCGTACGAATGATTGCGCGTGAGCGAAACCGCGAGCCAAACCGAAGTCGTTCAAATCGGACATTCCTGACGACCGCTGGTATCGAAACCTGCGTCGCGATGCCACAAAGAGAAGCGAGGCACCGCGAACTGCGGTCGTCATTAATAATAATAGGTCGCTCGTCGTTAATATAATATCGCGCAAAATAAAAATTGTGTGTATTAAATGAACGCGGGAAATACAACGGTCACGAGACCGTTGAGTGATTATCGCCTTCGATTGTGGTATACTTTTAGATCCATTGTAGATCTAGAAGAAAATTTCTAGAGGAAAATTTGACGGTGAGCGCTCACTCAACTGTTGTGTTTCCTGAACGTAAACATTGTTTTCTAGCCAAGGATTTTCTGTCCATACGTTGATCTATTCAATCTGATAGATCGGTCGTCACGCGCGTGATATGTGAGCAGATGGCGAAGTGGCTCAAATCGCACTCTTTAAATTTCTTGGAGTGCTCTCCGAATTTTTTGGAGTCAGGTTCCACTCAAAACAAATGAAAAGTGGCAGTATTTTCACTTGTAGCGATGGTGAAATTACAAGAGTGAATGTTTCACTCAAGGTTACAGTGAACTCCGATCTCGTATGAGCGAATGTTTAGTCGATTAGAGTGAATATGTTCCTATGACGGTATGCGGAGTACATCAGACACAATTTCTTGTACTAATACCTTCAGTTTCGAGTGAAAATGTTCGCTCGACGATTCAGAATGGAGGATCCACTCTGTGGGAGTGAAAAGTCACTGGAATTCGAGTGACTCGGCTGTCACCCTGCTCTTTTCGAGTGAAACTTCACTCCAAAAAATTTAGAAAGTAGCTTTTATATTCGCGGCTCACCTATGTACCAATCGTAACGTTTCTAGCATGTGAAATTCAGTATTGTCGAATCAGGAAAGAAAGAAATGAACAGATCGCGATCCGATAGTAGCCGCGGAGTCTCCTTCGTGCGCGGGGCCTGTCGAGTGCAACGGGACCGACATTGTCTCCTACATGCTTGCGAAAGGTCGCTCTAATTGCGACGAACCGTTATCCGTCACGACTATGCAGAAACGATTTCACGACGATTAGGTGCTACGTAGACACTCGTCACGATTTCTTCTCTATGCACGACAAGACGCGAGGAGATTTGTCGCACAAGCGATCCCCGTGATCTTCCGGATGCGGGCTGAAACGCTTGAGCGCGCGATTCGACGCGCGACGGAACGCGCCGAGGAGCACCCTTCGTGTCTCGAAGGGCTGCGCGCGAGTAAAACAGACGAGACGAGAGCGCGTCCGGTCGCACGTCGATCGCGCGAGAGAACTGATCGCACCGCCGTAGCGAGAACACAAGTGTAAGCGATATCTAGTATTATTAATGTTAAAAGGATGTGGTTAATGGACGGCGACCGTAACGTCGATGTACATACAGCACTAATTAAGCCGCGTGTGTGAGAGAAAAGCGTTGACTTTCTTTGTGCATTTTGCGTACGTCTCTACCAGCGGGTGTACGAGAGATACCTGTTCTTTGTATGCATGTAAGTTCGTGCGTGTGTGTGTGTGTGTGTATGTGTGTGTCTGTGTCTGTGTGTGAGTATTATACAGAGTTAGCACAAAAATGCAACAAAGACGCTCATCACGACGCGGGAAGCGAATGTCTGCCGCGATCGATTTAACCTTTCTTACCTCACCTTCTGGTCGGAATGCAAAATCGATGTTTTTAACTAAAAACCAAAGTCCATGTCGAAAGCAAACCTTTAACACGTTCCATTTACATTAATTAAAAATCAGTCTTACAGACCGCGCGCAAGTCTTTATATGTTCGAAAATCACGTGAGTCAAAAGAAGGTTAACCTCGATCGAATTTTAACACGTCGAGTGCCACGCTGAATTCGAGCGTGAGAATCGTCAGGCCCGAATTCGTCATCGCGATCGTAAACGGAATCAGATCATAGCTGGACCCTGACAGTAACATCAAGCACTTCCCGAACGTATTGGTGCAAATTTCACTGGTTTCAAATTTACTTTCAAGAACTCTCAAAACTATACGTTAAAAGTACGTTAAAAACGAAACAAAAGAGAGAACAACATTTTTTTCAAATTACATTGAAAATCCAAGTATGTTATTATGTCCTTTTTAGCTGAACTGTTTGAACTGGTGTAGTTAGGGTGAGACAGATATATCTTGTTCCACTCTAAAATCTATAAAAACTTCTAAATCTATGTAAAACTTATTTCACCAAAGTGCACTAATTTAGGAAATTTAGCTAAAAGAACAAACCTATTTTTAAATGCAGAAATGTGTAATTTGGCTAAAGTTCTTTTTACACTCTCTCGTACGACTTTAAATCATATTATTTAAAAGATCATTATATTCAAAAGATACGTGTTAATTATAATTTAATACGTGTAAACCTGTTATATGACATGACTTAAAACGATAAGAAACATGTGAAGAGAGATTCAGCCAAAATAACACGTTTGTATTTGCAGTGTATAATTTGCAGTATGATATATGTTTTACAAAATTTTAAATGAATTTTTTTTATAACGTGTCCATATAATACATCAAACGTGTTACCGTCAGGATTAGCACATTAACAATCGCATGAGTTATATTGGAGTTACATTATATACGCCTTAACATTGTAATAACTAGAATTACATTAATACAATTTTCAATCTTATATGTAACGCGTGAAATTGAAAATTATAGGAGACCCTGGTAAGTTGTACTTACATGGACCTGCGCTCGAAGAAATCTGTCCTCTTCTTTCAGAGCGCTGAATAAATAATACTTTAATGATCGTAAGTAAATCGTAAGTAAATGTTAAGGCAGTAAAAGTTATTCTTTTACATAACTGGTGTACACTCGGCTAGGCTAAATACACGCGCGGTAAGATCATTCCTAATTGAGTGAGTAAACCGTCACTCAGATACAACGGTAACGTGGCACTCGAAGTGTTAATGCTGGAACGCCTGCTCCTTCTCCTCGTTTCTCTTCTCACACGAAAATTAATGTGAATTGTGATCTTTGCGAGAAAGAGAACCAGAGCTCGTGCTCGAAGAAAATCAAACTATTCGCTATTGTATTATTACCCATGTTTAAAATTACAAATGTTTAAAATATATCTTGGAGTATCATAAAAACGTCTAAACCAAGTAGGATGTCTTCTAAACGTTAGATTTCTTTTGGACATTTACGTTGTATAGGTATGTTCCTTTCGTAATTATTCACTGATAATCTCACCGATCAATGTGCGATGTAATAGCGGAATTCACACATGGGAAATATTACTTTATTGCGAATAATTTGAAATTTAGAGAAACATCGACCTTCGGGCGTTCCAGTGCCAATTCATTCGCATCAACACCGTCGTTTAACGTCGTTAGCGACGTCGACGTACTCTTCGTTCGAAGCGATTTCGAGCATATAAGTCACGGCACACGTCGCGCAGATCAATCGATATATCCTCACGAGTTCCTAGAGTAGAAATATTAGCGATGTCGTCGGCGTCGCGACGTCGAGATGCTGTTAAAGAGAGAGAGAGAAAAAAGAGAGAGAGAGAGAGAGAGAAAAAGGTCGCGAGTCAGATTTTCTCGTGAACTTCGTAACTCGACATGGAAGACTATACGTATTGAAAAGAAGGTTGTAAACGTGACACATATTGCAGCCGCGAACACAACACGTCCACCAGTCCACTCACACAGATATACGCAACAGCTTTTGTACAGACTCTGTATCATACGTTACCACGACCTCCAAACTATATAGGGTACGTTCGTTAAAACAAAAAAAAAAGGAGAAGAAGAAACGGTAAGCTTAAGTTTTTTGTATAAAACGGCACAAATATTTTCTATGGGGAAACGGGGGCGAGTTCGATCGTAAGTGTTGTGTTTCTATTATTGATTGCCCGATCCGCGTCTCTGATCAGTAGATTGTCGCGCTGGTTGATCGCGCTTATCTACGGAAGAACGAGAGCTCGCGGAAGTGTATCGTTGAAAATACTTATGAACAATTCCTACGCAATAATATGGTAGTACTTACGAGTATATAAAAGCGAGAGAACGAAAGAGGAAGAAAGAGAGAGAGAGGGTGTTTTCCAGCAAGAGACAGAGGACACAGTGTAAATTAATGTGTAACACGGAATGTTTCTATATTGATACGTTACACTGCTCGACGCAGCAAAACTCTAAGGGCCGGTTGTTCCAACTTCTTGGTGAGTTAACTGATAGTTAAGTCACATGTATGTCTTTGTCTAAATTGAAATAAAAACAAAAACAGATATAAGATTTAATCATCAGTTAATTTACCAAGAAGTTGGAACAACCAGTCCGTATTCATAGATGTACCTTAAGAAATAAAGACTCCTTATTGGCTAAAGTCAACAGCACACGGTGCGTTTTTTCCTGCTGGATTGTTTGCGTGCTCCTATGTTGACTACACTGCTGGCTGTCTTGCTGGAAATGGTTTGTCTGCTAGCTACGCTGCTAAGTACTTTGCTAGATTTTCATGATAAATCAGGTGTTATTTTTCTCGCGTGGTCATGTGCTGGCTTGTTGTCAAAGCCAATCAGAATGTTATTTTAGATCACATAACTAAAGTATTCTTTTCTTTAAAAATACCGTTTATCAGGTGTGAAAAAAACATATTATTTAACCTTAGAATATGCTTTACTACGTGTAAAGCAAGTGAAAGAAAAAGATGGATAAACGAAGCTATTTGTAGTCTGATAGAGATCTACAAAGAGGAACAAAGAGGAACGTAGAAGTGTTGCAATTCTTCGATAATTAAAATTAATACAATTGAAATTTTCTTGTACGAGAAACTATTTCCTAAACAAAAACATCATGAATTGTACCTCCAATTAAATCGCTATATGTATTATTATCTCGCATCTCGTATCTCGTGCTAATATGCCGAAAGAAGTACTTCCTATCAGTGAGTAATTCGAAATGTCGTTTCTATTTAAAAATTAGTACCTCAAATCTGAAGGTACTACACATGCAGCGCATGGTTAAGAGTGTATTCTTGAAATAGTTGCGTATGCGTAAGTTTTATTGCGCCATTTCGAAAATACAGGCCCTGCTCCATGTCAAATTAAACACGATCCAATGCCTTCCAAATAGAATTGAGTTCAGCCAGCACGAAAACACATACTGTGTGAAGCCAAATCAATACACGGCCAGCAGCACTACCAGCATAGCTGCCTGCACGGTAGCAAACGCAATCCAGCTAGCAATCTAACAGAAAAAAACGTACTGTATAAATTGCAACGTTGGTTTAAATTGCACTTTATAAACTTTCCTTAACCAAACAAGGAGCCTTCTTGGCTGCCTTATTTCAAACTAAGTCGTGAGCTTCCTTGAGACGACGGCAGTAACTTGTTAGCAGAAGATGCAATAACAACCTATAAAAATGTCAATTTTGTACGTGTGTAGAGCACTATTATTGACTCCTGCATTAAACTGTGTAATTAAGATATATAATGAATGAGAACGAATAAGAAAATGATTCAAACGATGGATTTGAAAGTGAAAATGAGAAAAATAATATTCGGTGGTGTTTACCAAAAAGATACATTCGTAACAGGGTAAATCTTACAATTAAGTTTTACAAAGATGAACCTTTTAGAAAACGATATAGATTGAATAAAGCACATATGATTGATATTCTATTCTATTATCGCTGATAAATGAACAATTACAACGAGAAGATAATCGCTAATTTCCCCGTTAATGCAAGCATTTCTCCCAACTTTCAGCCTTATATCAAATCTATTACTCGTATTCCTTTATTTTCTATAGTTTTTTCTTCTGATATTAATTGAGCAAGGAGCATCCACTTATTTTCGGTATAAGTGTTTTTAGACTCACAGTTCATAATTGCAATATATACACATATTAACAATTGCACTTCTATTGTTGTTTAAAAAATATTATGAGAAGATGCAATGAGAGATTAAAGTCAATTAAAGTAGAAAATTAGGTTATACATATTCACACTCTTTGTTCAAATTTCACTCTGAACTATGGCATAATTCAAGTTTCCGTAAATTACCAAAAATTCCCAAAGAACAAACTCCTTTTAGAAGGAAATTTTAAAATCTCATTATAAAATAAGAAGACCTTGATAAAATAAGGAATCTTTATTGAAGATTTTCTTAAGATAAGAACCATCTATGAATACAGGCGTAAGAGTCTTGTTCTGAACTCTTTTTTATTGATGAAAGTGTCTTTAAGGGTCTACTTTTCAATAATAATTTAAACTTAGATTTAAGTTTTAAACTTTAACAGAGTTTAACTCTGTTTAAACACATGAAATATAATGTTAGTATAGAATTTATAAACTAAAATCTATAAATTTAAACTAATATTGAAAAATCGATCCTAAACGTAGTTTATAAATCTTTTTATTGACTTTCAGTCACATTCAGAGGCACTTTTATCAGTAAAAGAGAGTTCAAAATAAGTTTCAATGTGTAAAACATATCTGTCGGCAATATTTCAAAAAACTTATCACATGTAATCGCTCTCATTCTTTAGTATAACTTACAAAATTATTGTTACACATCGGTATACAATGGATACTTCCTCAAAAGTTGAGTACAGAATATTGAAAAATAAACTTAACATTTTATTACTTATATAAAAATAAATTTCATTAAATTCTATAAGCTTCTATTCGATTTTTTATCAATTTATTTACGTGCTAATATTGCAATGATATAATTATTTGAAATATATTTTCAGTCACAATAGTTTCTATAGAAAAGATGTATATATAGTTATTTATACAAACTATAAAATTTGTTCAAAATCATATGTGTCTATTATAGATAGACTGAGTATTTAAAAATAAAAATAAAGAACTATAATACAGTCTGGTGTTACATTAAGAAAGTAAACTGCTTTCCAATAAGTACTTTACACAGTGTAGTACAGTGTAATATAGCATGTTCTTGTTGGAAAACATTCGGAGAAAGAGGGAAAGAAGCTACGGACGTAAAGATGTAATGTTAGTATCGTATCGTCGTTACACGTCGTTACGAGCGCACTCGTGAACGATGAAACGTTATTGTATTCTCATAGTGTGCTAGTTTTCTCTCGGAGTTCGGTCACGCGTTTTTCCACACTAGATACTGTTGTTTCCGTTGTTTCCCGCGGAATGATTCTTTCATCGCGCGCGACGCGAACCGATCGTCTAGATATATCTTGTAGAGAGACCATCACGTTATATCGTAATACTGATGACGGATATAATGAAAAAAAAAAAGAAAAAGAAACAGCGCGAGACGAAATGCTCTTAAGGCTTGTATTAATAGTCCTTATTTGAAACTTACCTCACAAGTGAGATACTCAGATTTGTATTTAGAGTTAGTTGCGAGTACACAATATTGTGAATATACAAAATAATGTCACATATTACCACAAGATTCAATAGAAAAGCTCAGATCCAACTCTAAATTTAGATCTGAGTATCTCACGTGAGACAAGTTTCAAGTAACATCTATTAATACGGACCTTAAAGTCTCGCGACCGAGATGTTAACGATCAACCGAGATCTCATACGATAGATGCTGAAATCAGCCGCGGTGTCAAGTCCGATTACTTTTGCGTGTACGTGTATGTTGTTGCTGATCTGATGTAACGGAGAGTGGGTCTAGTTGGATGCGTAGATAAGTTTACGTATTGCTATACGGAGAAAGAAGTCTCAGTTGTGTATCTGAATGAAGACCAGACGGAAATTCTGTTACGAGAAACGTTATCTTTATTATTGTGAGCGAAATCATTGATCTATAAACATTTAGCTATATTAAAATAATTATCTCGATGAGATAACGGAGAACAATTGACTAAGTAGAAACTTCCTACGGAAGTCTTTCTGTTTCTGTAACCGAATTTTGTCTAGTCCCCAGACAACAAAAAATTCAGTTACACGAGCTGAACTTTTTTTTCATATAAGTGCACGAAAAAAAATTCAGTTTGTATGACTGAATAGGAACCAAACGAAAATTCGGGATTATAAAAAATTCTATCTTTATTACCGCGAGTGAAAGCATTCGTCTAGATATTCAGCTGGATATTAAAATAATTATCTCGGTTGAGGTAACAAAAAACAAGTGTGACTCTGAATAGAAACTTTCTACGGAAATCTTTCTGTTCTTATAACCAAATATTTATCTAGTTCTCAGGAAACAGAAAATTTAGTTACACAAACTGAGCTTTTCTCATGTAATAAGTACACGGAAAAAATCCAATTTGTGTGACTGAATAGAGAATAAAATAATTATTTCGATTGAGCTAACGGAAAACAATTGACTGAATAGAAACTTCCAATGTTCCTACATTAAGAAAAGAATACTTGGAAATTTATTTATGGATTATAAAATTTACTTCACAGAAATAAACTTCATTTTACAGAAATAAAGTTGGTTCTCAGAAATAAACTTTAAATATATCTCACAAATAAATTTTCAAGTATTTTTTTCTCAGTGTATAACTGAGCTGTTGTTTAGTCTTCGGGCAACAAAAAATTCTGTTACGCGAGCTGAGTTCTTTTTTCCGTCTAATAAGTGGATTGTGCGGAAATCCGCAAGATTTTCTCGGATAAGTATGATCCCCTTGCGCATCCTGCAAGCAATCCTCATTAAGACCGAGAATCTCGTAAGATCTGCTGTTATCAATGGCGCGAACTGATCCACGTGACCAACCGAACTCATTCTTCCCTATGATTCTACCTCAATTTTCGAGATTAGATGGTTTAGATTCCTTCGTGATAAAAGGTTGTTAGAGCGCGTGCGTACGCGTATACTCGTCTCACGTACGCCCCCGAATATACAGGGTGCCCCGAAGCTGTCACACCTCCTTTCAGCTGCGATCAGCTTGGAGTCGATTTATTTCCTCGACAGAGAAGTTTTCGAACTTTAGTTTATATCGATCGTTTATATTTATCGAGATACTACTGAGCACTGAAACGTATAGAAGCTGCAGAAAAAAGGTAATTTTTTTTTAAGATCTTGCGCGGAGGAAGGAACAACTTTGAACTGATCAAACGATACACGACTGAAAGAAAGCGCTATAGTTCTGGGATAACCTGTGTATAGCATGCAAAAATGATAAAAAAGAAAAAAAAAAGAAAGATGTTAACAACACCAAGAAAGATCTTTCTTCTAGAGCGTAATTATTTCGACAAAGAGAATTTGCTTGATCTAACGAAGACACGCATACTGTGCGTTGTTGCTTGTTTTCGGATTACCGCGATACTTTCCGAGAAGACTTTCCGTTTACAAATCAGTTGTGCCTATCTCGTTTAAAAAGAAAGGGTACTTTATGCAACTACACACAAAAAATATCTATGTGACATTCGGCTTGTGGTTCTTCGTGCAAACAAGATCTTTAACGACAAAGATACTGACATAATGATAACTACAAATAATTAGAGTCTTGATAATATAATAATAATATAATAATAATAATTATTATTATTATGGTAATAATATGTGAAATGAGCTAGAACTTAAATGCGCTATGGGATAAGCTAGAGTGCAAAAATCGTAATGATATACATACATATACATATATTGATAGTAACGACTGTTATTAGTTGGACTATTTCGTGCCTGTGGTCGAATATTACGATTTTATGGAAGTATACCTGTAATTCGTTATGCGTATTCAGATTAATACCAGCAAAGTCTTAGTTTACAAAAAAGTTTGGAGAAATAAACTGATAATGCAGCCTTGCTAAACGTATTTGTATAGGGAAAGTTTAAGTGTAGAGAAAGAGAGGGAGAAAGGGAGAGAAAGAGAGAGAACGGTCGTGCAAATGTTTAAAAGGAAAATGGAGAAAAAAAACGATTTACAACGGACTTTTTCCATTTTGTACAATCTAGTGTGTGGATCAGTATATTTACATATTCACTTCTCGCATTTGCGCTTCATACTTGAACGTTTTCAAACTAAGTAACTCGCAACATTCCTCACAACCCTTTGACATCATGTCGTTAATAGTTTAGACAACATCGATGACAATAATTTCAACTAATCACTTGCACGTCGGTCCTTGAGTATCACTTCGATCGCTTAGTCGTTTATCGCTTAGCCGATAACGGGATAACTGTGGCAGTTATTACAATTGAACCTGAAGATTACGTTTTCGTATTGGCCGCAACGTGTTAAAAAAGAAATATGAATCTCAATTATATAAGCCAATGACAGATTATAATTAGTATCTGTAATCGGTAGAATCATTATACATGCAGAAAGTTTTTCTTGAATAATATAGCACACTAATGATATAATTTAAAAGACTTATATTGGGCTACTGGAATATATTTATACTGAAGCTAAAACTTATATATGACAACAATAACAAATGACAAACAGTTTGATCAGATATATTTTGTAACCTGATAGTATACAAGTTTATCATTTGTACACGGAGAAAATATTGTAATAAAAATTAAAAAATAATAAAAATTACATAAAAATTATATCTTTTTTACAATACTTTTTGTAAAGCTAGGTTATACTAGATTATACTATAAAATTATCGTATAAACTATCACAGAAATAGCAAAATTTGGCGATCTACTTGATATACGATATAAGAAAACATTCAATTAATTCTAATAATTTTGAATTTAAATGACGAACGTGCATAATATTTTTAAACAAATACATAGTAATTAGCGTTGTAATTCTGTATGGTCCAAGATTACAAAAATTTTGTAATCTTGGACTATAATTTTTACTACAAATTTTTCTCTGTGTATAAGAAAATATTAGAGATGTAAAAAAAATATCCCATACTAATATACGTATTTTTGGTGTTGCAATTTGGACGTTGGACTGTTCGTTATTTCTAATGTCAATATGGAAGAAATTCTTACCTCAAATAATAATTATTATGTAATATATAATATTACTTAATCCATCATTTTGGAAAGACGGAATTTGAATTCCATCTTTCCAAAATGACATGAATTCAGTTTCTTTTTTTGTTGTATTTTTGTAGTTTCTCAAACCTTATAATATACTTCTTATGATTCTGTGGAATATTGAGATTTAATAACAGCCAAGAAATTCTGAAAATATTACAAAGATGTAATGAGAACGAAACGTAATGCGTGAAGTCTCTTTCCTCACCTTTCTGATAACGGGTTAATATGCACATCTATGAGAACGGCAGAAAAACGGAATATTTTCGTTATAATTCTAAGCAGTGATAAGCAGCTCTGATAGTGTCAATCGCGTTGCATTGTTTGTTATCATTTTCAAGAGTATGGTTGCGCAAATAAATTTACTGAATTGATTTTTTTGTTGAAGAAGACAGGATTTCCAGTTTTTATCAAATAAAAACGGAAGATAGGAAGACAGGAATTCTGTTTCCTTCAACCAAAACGCATTTGGTTCGTTTATTGCCAGTTAATTTAACCAAATTTTTCTCCATCTAGCAACGTATAATTTAAAGCAAATGTTAAAACAACGTCTAAATTTTCCATAGTTTTTTAAAATCTCTACGTTACAAATATATCTTAACTGAGCAAGACTATAATAATACTTGTTCGATTAATCAATATATCTATAAGAAAGAATATATCTACAAGTTTATATCTACAAGAAAAATTCTCTGCGTGTGTCATTTCTCAATGTGGATTCCTATATCTATTTCTTTTATCTATTTCTTTTCCTTTTTTCTTATCTATTTCTTTTTCTTTTTTATCGCAATTATTTCTTCCGATGCGCGCACGCGCGTTAGAAAGACTTTCGGGATACTTGTTATTTTATACCGACGTGTTGCATCTCAATAGCGAGAGATTCGGTGATACTTTATATTAAATGAAGAATGTATATTGGTATAAGCTTATATAGTAATTTTTTTACTATTTTACTAAGAACATGTCAGAGACACATCATTCGCGATCGTTTGTCTATCGAATCGAAAGCCACGGCAAAATACCATTAAAAGATAAAAAAAAGGAAGAAATGGTCGAAATATAAAATTACAGGCATTTAGCGTCTACATACCTTTTACGAGGAAACGTAATGTAAAGTGCAAGGCCAGTGCAAATTATTGTCAAAGAGAATAGGACTCAAAGTTTCTATATTTTATTATCGTGACGTATGTGCACACGATTAATCCCGACGATCAACGATCGCGCTGCGTGCATGTATGCGATTACACTCGTGTATCGCGATCCAAGTACGGTAGTTCATAGAGAAACGATTCATCGCACTATCTCTCTCTTGATATTCGTGATAATCTCTATTATCCGTTAGATGGTCAATTCGATGCAAACTAAACGTACGTCGCTAATCGATCTTACCCCGTAGAGCGCATCCAAAATATGAGAAACTATAATTCTCCCCCGAATTTTTCCAAGCACTTCGCTGAATATTCTTTCATATTCAATGTCTACTTCGTAATTTGAACGTATGGCAACAATTAATACACGTAATTGTACGAATATATGGTAGCGCAGCTGCGACGGCTGGTAACGATGATGATGATGATGATGATGATGATGATGATGATGATAGTGATGATAATAATCGTAATGATGTCGATGACGAGAAGTTGATAACAGCTGATATGTGTCATTTATTCGGCGGATATCCCAAGGCGCTTATTAGAGCCTAAACGTGCAAGTGCAATCGTTTATATGCGTCGAATGTATGCGTAGTCACATCCATGTGTAGACAGTTGACTATCGATGATTTACTTACGAACGTTTCTTTGAACGCATCAAGCCTTTGAACGTAACAAAGAGCCGCGTTAATGTGATTTCGAAGCTACGATAACATGCGATACCGTAGTCACAATAAATATGTTAGAATGAATACGAGAAACTATGCAACTGTGTAATGTATACTAACGTGATTTGTTAGATGTCAAGTAGACAAATTGCGTTGCGCGCGAGTTGGAGGATATTTGCCGAATAAATGATCGCGCAGTCAGAGAGTATAAAAGTGGAAAACGAACTTTCTCACAGCGTCCGCCGTTAACTAGCTAGCTAGTTAGCAAGCAAGCATTGCGCGTACGCTCGGATAATAATTGGTCGACAATCTTTCGGTCGGAGATGCCAGCGTACAATGTCAGAACTTTCGTTCGTAAGTGAAGCCGCCTCGTCGTCTCCACCGTCGCGACGCGACAAAACGAATCTTCCATTTCGAGGAACTTACGTTTAGATAATTTTTCAATGAAACAATAAAAAAAAGATCTCTTGATATGAATTTATACATATTTAAACAAAGTGTCCTAGTCTATGTCGCGCGAGTGACGAGTTCAGCCTTTGCGAGACGAGAGATGAGTCTACGATTTACGAGGGGTGGGTAGAATTAACGCTAGAGATCGCCTCGACTGATACTATTTGAAGAGGAGGAAATTCGCGATCACGATCGGCGAATAATAAAATATACGTACCGAGACACACAATTAAGATTATCGAGATTTATTAGGCGCGCTTAGACGAAGCTCTCGTGCGTAATAATAACAATGTCATATATTTTGTGAGAGTAGTGTATCTATACTAGAGCTGGGAAGAGAGAAGTAAAAAGAAAAGGAAGAAACCAGGATCCTTCGATGCAACATCCTTTTCCGTGAGTCCGAGATCATTGACCTTTATAAGTAAGCACGTGACCTTTTCTTGAGTGTAGGTGCTTGCGTGGGGGGCAATTTGACTCACAATTCAATTTATTTAAATTTGCTTTGCAAATATAATCTTGCATTTTTATCTATAAGCAATTATAAATTAATACGCAATTATAAATTATAAATTATAATTATTATTGTTTTCAACATAAAACAATAACTTTATTCTAATTCTTTAATTTTTAGTAATAATTTTAAATATAAAGTGTGGGTTAATTTGATCCACATTTTAATTTACTTAAATTTGCTTTGTAAGCATAGTTTTGCGTATATATTTATAACCAGTTATAAACTAAGATATATTTGAAATATAAAATTATAATTTTAGAAAATATTAATTTTTTAATTTTTAATAATAATTTTATGCATAAAATGTAGGTCAATTTGACCTACATTTTAATTTATTTAAATTTGCTTTGCAAATATATTTCATTTTTATTTATGAGCAGTAATAAACTAAAATATATTTCTTAAACAAAATAATTTTTAAAAATTATTGGTTTTAAATGTTTTTTAAACAAAATAATTTTTAAAAAATTTTATTTCTTAATATCTAATAATAACTTTAAACATAAAATGTGGGCTAATTTGATCCACATTTTAATTTATTTAAATTTACTACGCAGACATAGTTTTGCGTATTTATTTATAACGAATTATAAACTAAGAACTAAATAATTTTAGAAAATATTAATTTTGTAATTTTTAATAACACACAATATTATGCGTAAAATGTGAGTTAATTTGGCGCACATTTTACTTAAATTTACGTTGCAAACATAATCTTCCACTTTTATCTCTACAAGCAGTTATAAACTAATATGTATTTTAAACGTAAAATAATTATCTTTAAAAATTTTAATTTTAAAATTCTTAACAATAATTTTAATTAAATATTTTTCATCACAAGTTAAATAATATATCTTTTTATAACTTAATTTGGAGAAGTATTCATTTGTTTATACGTATGTCAGTTTTACTCCCAAATGTCCACTTACGTGTTAATAAAGAACAACGTGTCGTAATACGGCAGAATTCTATTAGCGGGACTAACTAACTAACTACTAATTACGTCTATATACGTCGCGTCGATGAACGACGTTTGTCGTTCAACGCCCGGAAAACGTAATCCGCGAACTTTCCAACACCCAGAATATCCCGGCTTGTCGATTGTAAATTTAGACGGTTCCAAAGAACCTCTTTTTTCTATTCCGATGCAAAATCATTCCTACCGGCGAGGAGACTCGTTCCATCTGACGACATTGAATACTAACGCGTCTGCATCGCCACTAAGAGCCTAAAACGATTCGAAAGACACCAAGTTTCACACCGCGTGAAAGTGAGAGACGTATTCTCCCGGGATCGCGCTATCATTGCTAATTACGATGCCTCGTGCGCTAAAATCCAAACGATCGATTCTCAAGCTTGCTTACGCATGTTAATAAGTAGTCACCAATCGGCCCTGTGTGAAGAATCATCGCGACCTCGTCACAACTTGATTGTCGGCGAGCAAACCGCTCGGAACACGGTCGATACGATACATATCCAGCATGTCTTGTGTTACGGTACCCGTTGAGATGAGTATCGGATATCGTTCACGCCCGAATAGTCTCCCAGCTCTAATTTATGCGTGTATCCTTCCGATGTTGTACACCCTGGACGTCATCTCGAAAGAACCTCGACACTTCTGATTCTTATATACATATATGCATATGTACGAATACACACATGTACACATTCAGAGAAGCACATACACAAAACGTTACCAGCATCGAATAAATACGAAAAGAACATACTTTCAGTTGAGTCGCATTAGAGTTTCTTACGTTCATCGTCATGCATACAACCGTCGTGAGTGCCAAACGGCCAAGTCGCACAATATCCATTGCATCGACACAGACAGTCTCTCTCATTAGCGAAACAGGAGCGAGATGTTACTTCGTGCATTTGTTGGTAGTTAACGAATTCGCGGGCAAAGCGATGACACAACGTTAACGCGTCGACTGTCGCTCCGTTGTTTACTAAAAATGTCAACGCGAACAGTATATCGCGGTAAAGGGGAAATTAACGGTGGCGCGTTAACGTATCTCATAAATCACTGATATTCCGCACATCTCGATAGGTTGAATCTATGCCAGAAATGATCGCTACGTTTTCCCCGAGACTGCAATTCTATGTTTTTTCATTGTGTATGAACTGAGAACTGGCGGATATGTGCTCCAGAAACGCAATCGCATTGTCCGCGAAAATGTCAAGTGTGCTAAGCTTTCGTAAGAAATGTGGTCTTCCCATCGATGCTTGACGTTTCTACTACAAACTTTCGTAAAGACGACTTTAGCCGAGACACACGCGTCAAACGGGTGCGTAGCAATGGCGGAGTTTTTATGAAACAAAAAAATTGAAAAAAAAATATGTATTTCGGTATCTGATTTATCGCAGGTAGGTTCGGACGCTTCGCAGTTACGACAAATTGAAAAACAAAACGCTTACCTACCTATATACATGTTATATATATATATATATATATATATATATATATATATATACATATATATATATATATATATATATATATAATTATATGTATATATCATTATATACATATTATATATTATATATATATATATATATATATATTGATAATTATTGATAAATTGATTATTAAGCGTTTCATTTATATAAACACGAGACAAAGTACCGATCTAGAACTATTAGCGTTTAGATAGGTTTCGTACTTCGTATTTAATGACATTATTGAATCATTATATATCAAGTATTGTATGTACTGGAGCTGGACGACAATGAAAATAAACTATTGTATCCAAAAGAAAGAAGATGCAGTTTACGTTACAGTTAATTCACCGATCCGTTAGCCCGCTTCACTCTTACACTGTAAAAAATCTTGTGTACACAGTACGTAAACAAATGTTCTAAAAACTCTATATTTTGTGTCGAAAATAACTCATTGATATGTTCATTTGTGTGTTATTTATATTATGTACTAGTCTATATATAATGTAAATAACACACGAATGAACATATGAATGAGTTATTTTCGACACAAAATTTAGAGTCGAATATTTGTTTACGTACTGTGTACGTAAGATTTTTTAGTAGTTGCACACGTTCGCAGCGTGAGCTCGATCTTCACATTTCCGCCCACCGACAAGCAAATCTCGGGAAACATCAGACGCCGATTTATCTCCAATTTTTTACAATTATTTTTTGTGTCAAAATATGAAGAAATATGTTATTATTTTTAGCCCAAATTGATTTTTCTAATTTTTTCGAAATTTTTAAAGTTTTGCACGAGTACACTATTTTACATATATTTAAAACAGTATTTCTTAAGAACAAATCTACGATTTGTTAAAATCCAGTGGGAACTCCACACATATGTCGCTGATTATAAATCAGATCCATTTTGCAAAAAATTCAAAATGTATCAAAATAGCAGATTCAATATGGCCGACGTCATTGTTGAAAAAGTTCGATTTACGCTAAATTTGGCGCTGAATAGTTTTTGGGATTACTATGCAGCAAACAAGCTCATTTTGATAAAGCTCAAAATCTGATCAAAAAATTACCAAGGAATAACCAAATTTACAAGAAAATAACGTAAAAATGTCACAGACCGATATTATATGTAAAATAGTACTTGTGCAAAACTTCAAAAACTTCGAAAAAATTGAAAAAATCAATTTCAGCTAAAAATGATAACAAATTTCTTCATATTTTGACATAAAAAATAACTGTAAAAAATTGAAGACAAATCGACGTCTGACATTTCCCATGGTTTGCTTGTGAAAAAATGTTTGATATTTGTCACTAAACGAGCAACACATTGAAAACATTGGACTAATGTTAGATCTACAGCAGCTACCCACTACTTATGATGACGACCCGACGTTGCGAAATGATAGACCGATGTTGAGATCGTCAGATGATAACCCGACGTTACAAGATGATGTTGAGCCGATATTGGGATCGTCAGATTGATTAACCTGTGGCTAATGGTTGATAAAATGTTAGATTTTGCGTTTAACCTAAATTATGCCAACGATTGGAAGTAATCCAAAAATACAAAAACAGTACAAAAAGTTGTTGAATTGAAACAGATTTAATCATTGGAATAGTCCAAAATAAAATAAAACTAATTTTCGGTGAGAAAAAGAATACCAGCGACTAAAAGTTAACAACATTTCGTACGTTCTTTGCTTATCTTCCGTTTGGACCGCGTTTTCTTTGTATTTAGTTCCAATGTTTCATAGATATTTCAGTTCACACAAGTAAGACGCGGTCCAAATTCGAAAAACAAGCGAAGTATTGGACAACAGTGCGAAAACCTAAAATACCACTTCGTATTCGTTCACATCCTGTAGTTTGGATCCTAAACAGCGACCTTAGGTCATCATTTCACTTATTAGAGTGAATTCACACCTTGGCAGGAAAACAGAAAGGCAAAAACCAATTAGAACTCGCGCTGGTTAGGTTGTAATTAATATTTTTTGTTTTCCTACTGAATTCGCCCTTATAGACGAGCTCGCTGTTGCGAGTTGCTTGATTTTCGAGATCGAATAGTAAATAGTAATACCAATGATTCTGATGACATACTTGTGACTCAAGTTTATATAATGTTCACGAAACATAATTATATAATTGTAATTACAATTACAATATAATATAATTATACTAATAATATGTAATTGTAATTACAATTGTAATACTCTGTACTATATTTACAGGTAGACATTTTAAAAACAGTACAATCAGCATGTGACGAATACTGATATAATATTATATATATTAACGAAACAGTGGTTTTGATAATTGTTTTTGTATTTTTAATGAAACATTGGACATTAACAATGGTTAAACTGCGCAACAAATTAGTTTAAAACAAATTCAAGAAAATTTATTTGAAATTTAATTGGAAAAAATTAGATTAATTATAATATTTAAAAAACATTTAAAAATACTACTACTAAACAATTTTGTTTTTTTTTTTTTATCAAATAACTCGATTTATTTCTTTGAAACAATGTAGTTTTTACTAGAAAAAATAATATATACGAATAATGTAAGAATATGTGTGTTGTTTTAATGAAACAAATCAAGATCATATAAAATAAATAAGAATACCAAATCTAAAGAAATGTTTTCTGTGATTCTGTGCTACATATACGAGTATCTCTTAAAATTTTAAAAATTAAATAATATTTTATTCTCAAATAATATACATATTAGCCCAACTTTAGCTAAACGTTGTTTCAAAAATAATTGATTTACGTCGTTAACTAACTAATAATTTATTTATTAATTTATTAATTTATTAATTTATTAATCTATTTATTAATTTATTAATTTATTTATTACCAAAATGATTAGAAATATGTCATACTACCTCAAAACAATTAAAATTTATAAGAAAGGACATAATAATGTCCACTAATTTTCATCAAATAAATAGAAAGAAAACCTGATTGACACAGTTCGCCGAATATCTTAACAATGTTAGGCCAACAGTGTCTTCCTAATCAATATTGATTTTGACTAAATCCCACCACAAAAGATTTGTTTTTTTCTCGAAGAACTTTCTGAACCAGTGTACATTCGGTTACTAAACGGTAGTTACACATTTTCCCGAATGAAGTTGCAACATTCTTGGTTGTCACAAATTAAGAAACACTGCTGATGCGTTCGCGTTGTAATCAGTTGACAGAAGTCGAAGTGACACGTCAGCGAGTGGCCATGCGTTGTCATATAGCAAGATGACTTAGCGATTTTCTTGCCCGATAAATGGTTTCTCTTACTCCAACGCATCGCTCAAATTGATGAGTTGCTGTTGGTAGCAATCCGTCGTAACTGTTCCTCCCGGTTTCAGCAGCTCATAATAGAATATACCCTTTTTTAGTCTTACTAGATACAGAACAAAATCTTCTTGGTGTCGATATTGGACTTTATAGTGGATATCGTCAGTTAGCTAGGATCTACCCATGACTTTTCGCGCTTGAGCTTGTATAGGATTCACTTTTTATCACTTGTAATGCAAAAAATTCTTCTGTTTGAACCAACTGAGCAACAGTGCGGTGTCGTACTAGCGCACTTTGCTCTCCTCATTCAATTTATACGGTATCCATTTTTTTTTCTTTTGAATCTTTCTCATTTAATACAAACGATCGGAAATAGCTTTTTAGCTAACTCTCAGCTATTCTACAAGTTCTTTTTGGGTTTTGATTTTATAATGTCTGCAGCTCGTTTGACTCAAACTTGAGTTCGTTCAGAATATGGTTGGTTTTTCAGATCAAAATCTCCATCGTGAAATTTTTTACACCAATTTTTTACATGTTGCGTAATTTATGAATTTTATCAAGTCAACGTGAAAACGTGCTAATACATTCGAAAGTATTCCGGGTTAAACTGTTGCAATAGTGGTACTTGAAAAGTTGAAGAGTCTTTTAAATATAAAAGACATCCGACGCTACAACTAAACTGAAAATCCAGGAAAAACGCACTTTGGTTTCAAATATTCCAACTTGTCAACTTTTATTTCAAATATTCCAACTTTCGTGTGCGTGCGAATCGTTAATTTTTTTCTAATCAAACTGCTAAGTAGTTAGATAATATTTCAATCTATATATGTAGTGCAAGTTTCAAAGAATTCTTAATAAACTCATTGTTTTACAATCTTCTTAAACCGAACACAGATCATTGTTTCATTGTGAAAATTTGATAATTTATTCAGTATTTTTTAAACTAAATCACATTTTGTTTTGATTTGAATAGTTCACTTCTGAAGAGGTTAAAGGCCACGTAGTATAATAAATACGTTACATAATATCTCTGGGCAAGTAGCATATGTTACTTATCGATCGATATCGATTATGAAGCGATATATACGACCACAGTAGTGCACTTATTACGAAGAATTTTTACGCGTAATCGCACAATTTTCTTCCATGCCGCGTAGTACGTGTGCGCTCGCAGTAATACAGTGCGCATGAGCAGAAGCGGGAAGTCAGTGAAAGCGCTCGCAGCCTACTTCACGACTAGTCGTCGGTAAGCCATTATGGCGATCGGATAGAAGTCACGGTGGTGTCCGTTAGCTCGAAAAATTCACTGTGATGGTACACGTTCTCGCGTAGTGAATCGACTCGCAGTTTCCACTGCACGGAGGAACGTCGATTTTTTTATCGCGCAACGACGTACAAACACGAATGTCACGATGGTGAAGCTGACCGAGGAGATGGTCGTGGCTCGTACACGAATATCCGACTTCTCCGCCGTAAAGAAACTCAATTGCTGGTGAGTATTTACGTCGCGACGGTGTTTTCGACGGCGAGACGTCACCCGCGAGTGAGTCCGCGACAATAGCTACAGCGCAATCGACGCGTTCGTTCGTGTTCGCTGTGTAAAAATCGCGCGGCAAAGTTAGCGAATCTTCGTACATACGCTGCTGTGGGAAAAAAGGAAATGTCATTATGATCAGCCAAGCGCGACTAACTGCTATGTCCGTGATATGACATACAAAGGAACGCGGGCAAGAGTATTCGGTGTGAATTGCGTAGAGAATCTTGCTGTCTCGTGTGAAAAAGTCACGACACGGAGTCCTGTTAAATGTACTTTTTTGTTTCCTACAGGGGAACAGAATTAACGGATGTTAGCATCTTGAGGAGAATGAAGAATGTGGAGGTATTGTCATTGAGGTAAGTCGTAAGTCATCGAAATTAATCACAGAGACAATTATCAAAACAAGAAAACTACTGCTACGAATCTGTTGTATAATTTTAATCCTCTACGATATCAGCTCAGCGAATTGAGCATCAACTGCAGACCATAATTGCCTGCAATTTTAATTATATGCATTGAAATGAAGTCACTCTATCGAATACGCTAATGATCTAAGATATTTCTCATCCCGTGAAAACACAGAGGCTGTAACGTGTTCCTAATTTGGACATGATCGTATTAAACTCATGGTCACAGCCCACAACTTCAGAAGTTGTTCTGCCCACACGTGCTTTGAATTCATTGTGATTTATCTGATTAACATTGAAACGTACAAATCGCAGACCTGAGATCCTACTTCAGAATAAAAATTGAAAGAGCTGTTGTTTCTCATATTTAACAGTAAATATAACAGTAAATATGCATTACTATCTGATACAGTATCAAATTAGCCTGATTCTGTAAAGAAACACAAGAAGAGAAATGAAAGTGTACATAACTTCTACTTTTGAACATAAAGATGTAGCTCTGAGGAGATGTGTAGAAATTGTGTTCATGAATGTGACTTTCTCTTTCAATGTCTCATTGCAAATTCAGCATAATGTCATAATTTCAACACTCATACTAACAGCATTTGTACATTCTTCTATATTTATGCATATTTATATTCTAATCATCATAAATGCAATATATGTAAGATAATGTTATTTCAATAAGAAGAAACAATATTTTTTACATAGTATTAAATTAAATGAAATAAAGTAAAGTGTTAATAGAATAATAATAATAATAGTATGTAAATAATAGTTTCTTCCTATTATTTACATACCAATATCAAATTTGTTTTGATTTACATTCTCATATTATATATTCTGTACAAATGTGAAATAAAAAAGGATTGAGTTGATAAAAATATCTTGCACTTTTTTTACATTAAAGTATATAAATTGTTATATACTATGTATAAATTATTATATAATATATATAAATTAATATCAATTGGAATTATTAACATTAATATCTTTCATTATCTTACCTAAAAAACTATTCAATTGAGATAGTTAGTTTATAATGAATAAATTTTTCTAATGACAAATAAATAATTATGTTCTTATTTATTTTCAGTATAAATAATATTAATACACTTGCCGATTTTCAATATTGCCACAAGCTTCAGGATTTATTTATAAGAAGAAACAATATCAAGGATTTAAATGAGATTTGCTATCTTCAAGGATTACCTAATTTACGGAATTTGTGGCTTGGTGAGAATCCGTGTGCGGAGAAAGAAGGGTAAATATTTTACGCGAAAAACGCGAAAACGTATACAATAAAAAAATATAGGGAGTTTCATCTGTTGTCTTTGTAGATATCGATTATCAGTGCTTCGAACTTTACCAAATCTCGAGAAATTAGATGATAAAGGAGTATCACCTGAAGAAATACAGACTGCAATGGCGATAGGACGACCTTTGGTGCATCCTCTTGAAATGGATACTTCTCCACAGTCAGACGCAGTAAGCCCAGATGTAAGAATAAAGTTCAAATAACATCTAATAAAATAACGAAAAATCGGTGGACAAAACATCGTGGTGGTAGAATACTATTTATTATTGTCATGAAACCATTCCCATGAGCTATATTCATAAAAAAAATGGGTTTGTTTATACATTATTATCCTTGCGTGCGCGCTTTATGTAATATTAAAATTAATAGCCACACATTTAACCATTATTAAAATTTTACATACACATGATAACGAATTATATCAGATTAAAAGATCCTTTACATGTAAACGTATTTTTAACAATTATTAAAATACTAAATGACATTTACTAAATTAGGAAATACCAATTGAATATATTGAAGAAACTGAAACGGAACAGCCTAGGAGATACAGTTCTTGTAGCGATCAGGTAATATCATAATATCATAGCTTACTGCATTCTTCATTTTTTCTCTTTGCTGATTTTATTTGTGTGCATTGTGACTAAAATGGATTGTTTAGTGACTTATGAGATGTTTACCGTATGATATAATTAAAGTCGGACAATGCACGTACATGTAGAAATGTTCTTTCAGAGAAGTTTTGACGAGACGCAACAGTCGCACGAAGAATATGACCCTGACAGAAGAAACGCAAATTATAGTGCGTCATCGTCCCATCATTACTCACAAAATAATCAGTATGCATATGAGGTCAGTCATGTATATCATTATGCAACAAAGATAAAAATAGTGTCTCTTAATAATTATTTTCAAATTTAAATTACTTTCTCTATTATTAATGGATCATAACTATTCATATTACGAATCTTTTTATTATTATTATATAATTTTTAATGCTATGTTTTTGACGCCATGTTTTCATATTTCTTAAACAAGGAAACTTAATTAATCCACTAATTTTTCTTTACTGCCTCATAATAATTACATTGAGGATCGCTTCTCAAATGTAGACAATAACTTTGAACTTTGAATCTTACCCTTTAAACTTTAATCCTTAAACTACTTAACTACTTTAGTCTTATCACCTGATTACACTAACAGCTACAGAATGGACAATCAAAGAAACACAGCAAAGATGATACTGTGCGTACAGAGTTGCGTAGCAACAATGAGACTGCGGCCACTAACACTCTTGAAATATCCAAGGTACATTCATTATAGTTGCACATTGTTGACGCAAGATAGTAATTCGTTTATAAGTATTTTTTGTGCTTCCTATCATTCATGTTATCTTCGTCATATTAAAAGAATCGCATAGAATGCATTTGCAGTATTGCTTATCATTCATAAACACAATTAAGTAAAACGTCCAATACATTTACTGAAATATCTTTTCATTTGTAGCTGAATGCGCCGCTTTAATATAACTCAACTCGGGGAATATTCAACGATAATTAATTTTTTCCTTTCTTTTTTTTATCGCCATCATTTAACTTAATTTTATATTTTGGTGTTATCAGTTTATTCTAATTTATTTTAGTTATTAATTATACATCATAACATAAAGTTTTTATAATTAAAATGAAATTTCTACTTTGAAACCATTTTTTGAGTTTATAAAAAACTATGTTTCAGGATTATGATGAACGCCCAGTAGTATCGCGACATAACGGAGATTACGACGAAAGGCGAGGTTATTCCGATTACAGCGGGAACGAAGTATCTCAGCGTGTTTATACATCAACACCCCAACATCGTACACAATATGTTGCCAATGAATCCGCAGATGATAGACGTAGTGAAAGAAATAACTCTTATGACTACGATGACAGAATAAAATTAGAGTATGAAGATTCGCAATCTCAGCTATCGCAACAAACAAGGAGAATGGCAATTAATAATGTCGAAAGGGTGAGGTATAGAGATGATTACAGAGTGACTCAAAAGTCGATTACTATTTTGAATTTGAATCAGCAATCGATTTTTGAATCATCCTGTACGTGATATTCTGTGAATATATATATATATATCATCCTGTATATTATGTCAAATGATAAGCTCAATGCAATTCACAAAGTTTACTTAAAGTGCTTGTTTACATCGATCGTTTGATATACATGCCAAATAGTAACTTTCTATTAAATTAATTTTAACGATTTATGTAAATTATAATGTATGTGATGTACTGTGCCGGGGCTATACGTATCAAGATATACTAATTGAATACATTATTATTTACACGCATCATCGAAATGAAGATAAAATCAATATAAAATTACTAATTATGCATATTAAGCGATCGATGTAAACAAAATCACTAATAAAGTAAAAGATTAAAATATTCACGAGGATATTTAATAAAACTAATTTTTTTTTATGTCTACAGGAAGATACTAGTCAAGTACCTGGCTGGGTAAAACATACTGATAAGGACAAATGCAGATCTCAATTTCATTATCACAGACGACCAGTAACAAGGGTATGTTTGTCATTATCTTAGAGCGCAATTATTACATATAATACATATTATTACATATTATTACACATTGTATATTTCGTATCATATATCATTAGTATGCTCATTTTTCTTCGTTTAGAATTCGAATATATTGTCCGCTGTATTGTGCCTGGTCAAAGAATTGGACTACCCGAGTCTGGAAGTGGTAGAAATGGCTGTTAGAAATCGAATGGATGAACTGGAAGAATGATGTTTCTGACACCGTCCCCAAAATCCACAGGGGACGGTCGCTTTCTCTCATATTGGCAGCATGTCTTCCGTTCCCAGCCCGGAATTCTCCGACTCTCTTGATTCAACAATAACTCCTAACCAATACACTGATAACGATGGAAATTATAACAATCACGAGCAGTACGTAATCGACCGTCAGTTATTGGACGAGAATAACGAGAAATGTCAAATTCGACGCAACGGATGTGCCGAAAAAGTTTGCTCAATACAAAGTCCAAAAACCGTCTCTATTGACCCAAGCCCAAGATTGCTCAGAAGTAATCAGTCCGTGTATAAAATTAAAGACTCTGTATTAGATAATCTGCCGCCGGGAAATTACGAAGAGAGGAAGAGCAACGACGTAAGACGCGTGGCGAGCAGTGATAGTATTCCTCGCGGTAACTATAACAATGTTGTTCTAAGCCAGGGATGCAGAGTTCTGAGCCAAGACTGCGTGAGAAGATCAAAAAGCCTGGATGTTAGAAATACAATTACGCCCCTTCGTTATATTCAATCGGCGAAAGGAACGTGGACGTATAATTTGTAAGTTAGATTGCAAATTTAATGAATTGCTTTCCTGAAATAATGACCTAAATCTTTGTAAATGCGACTTTTCTTCTTTCTCTCTCTCTTAACGAACTCTTTGGAGTGGAAAGAATAGAATTTAAATTAAAAACAGATTAGTAATTGGTACAATTTTTTCTCTTTTTTTTTTAAGATAGAAGATTAGTCTCACCCAACGTTATTTCAGGAGAGAGATATATATGTAAAATTTACAAATGATTGTGATATTTCTACAAGGACTAAAGAAATGAATTTAATTGTCTTAATATATTTGTGTATTACGCGCGTACATTTGGAACATGTTGAGATAATAATTTCTGTTAATAGGAAATGTTAAAGTTAAATCTAGCGAATTCTTGGTTGTACAAGCATACAGAAATTTGATATTTTATACTTAAATAATTTTCCTCATCATCTGTTAAGTGTTTCAAAATTTTATTCCCGATACAAAAAAAATCTGTCTTAATAATTTATATTTTAAAATTTAAATATATCCGCGACAGACACGAGACCTTTCAGATATATATATACAAATTGTTAAATATACACGTTATAAATACCTCTACCTTATGTATAAAACATAGAATCAAAGTTAAATTATATGCTCTATCAAATATTTTCTGAGCAAGAACACGTTCCGTGTTTTTACGCGAGCAAGAAAAATTACTTGAATCAGTGATACTCTTTGTGGATCGACGTTTAAAAAGTGCAATAATTTATACAATAAAATATAATGCGAATGTATGTATATATGTAGAACATAATTTCGTATGCAAAAAGTATTCTATAAACGGCTTTGTTTAAATGTATGTACATTTTCCACATATATAATCTAATAATTTACAATCGAGATATCTTCGTACGTCTATGCTTAAAAATGTACATATAAGAAAGCAAAAATATTCTATAGATAGCATTTTTTTTAATTTGTTAATGCAATTGCGGATACGTACATTAATCTTTTTTTTTCTAACTTTCTTCTCTTCTTGAGCACTGTTATATGAGAAAAAGGTAATTTGATTACAACTTAAATTGTTTTAAAAAAATTGTACTTAATGAATAGTAAAATAACGAACAAGGGAGATGACGAGAAGTAAGATAACTAGATAAGAATGTGTATTATAGATTAACTTTAGACTGACGAACAAGTAGAACATATTTTTTTGAGACAAACCCTTCTTACATTACATTAACTGTTAACTATATGGCAAAAGCAGAAAACAACATAAGAAATTAAATTTATTCGGCAATCAGTACACCGTTCCAACCAAGTAAGCCAGCAACTTATGATAATTAGTATTAAGACGTTTTATAATAATGTAAAACACAACGGCTTTTGTTACCTAGAACCGTCCATTTACATTACTTTGTAACGAGTACGCAATGTTACTTTATTGTATGTAATTACAAAGCTGATTACTATAATTCAATATGAGACACCAAGTTTACATAAAGTAACAATCCTTCAACAATTGAAATAATGTTAAGTATTTTTTATATATTCTCACACATCTTGTATATTTTATCTGCAATGAACGCGCTATGAACATTATAAATTTGTGTTTATGACAAATTAGTTTTGAAGTCTATATTGTTGTTGATGTCTTCACAAAAAATGAACTTGAAATAATTTATTAACTTGTCAAGCAAATGAGAAATTGTATCTGCCAACGTATCTAATCTGTTCAAATTGTTAATTTAAGTTTACATCGTGCTTCATGTAAATATATACACTTCCATTGAAGCATTAAACCTGTCTACACTATGAACTATGAAAAATTAACTTTACATTTTACCTTACTTTGTATCCTCTCATTTTGTTAATATTTTACATATCCCTGACATTAAAGATGACGTATTTTTTCCGAAAATGAAATTAAATAATGCGAGTCTTTCAAACTAATTTTATGATCTGATATTCTTCTTAGAATGTTAAAAAAATTTTGAAATTTACTCAAAAAATTTAATGCATTTAAATAATTAATTTAAAAAAGTACAGCTTTTTAATAATTAATTAATAATTAGAAAGGTTGATAGTAATAATTATTTAATATGTTAAAATTAAATTAAAACATTAAAAAGTTAAGACTTCTGGTATTCACATAGTCCATCTCTTTTTAATGACGTAAAAAGCAAGGAAACACATGCTAAAAAATTCTTGAAAAATACATCGAGATAAAAAAGATATATCTACAAAATGATACTTGCAATCAATCAAGTACACCTCTAAAATATTCCGAACACTTTCCTTTTGCACTAATATTAATAAATAACAATTAATAAATTAATATGACATGCAATCTTCTTTTTAATCTAATTTCCTCATTATTATCATATATTATTATATTATTAATATATAATATAATAATATATTATTCTGTCATATAGTATAATTTTATGATCATTTATTGTTAGAACAAAAGAAAAATGTATGGAATATTTTAAAGGCGTACTTAATCGATTGCAAATATCATTTTATGGATATAAGCGAGGTTTCGCGGTGATAACGATAAAATACACCTATAGCCCTATTCTGTAATTCGTTATTGGAGATAACGACAGTTTCGTTACCGTTGCGCTTTTCTACGATAAAAAAGCTGTGCAACGATACGATATCTATCGTTAACTGCATTTAACGAGTTACATAATCGCATTGCTGGTTCGTGCCCGTTGTATGTACTTCCGTACATTGATAGTAAGTTAGAAAAGGATAGATGTCCAATCGCTCGCCTCGATAATGCTGTGATAATGGCTTAGTTTACATCGTGCACTTGATACGCGTACTAAATAGTAACTTTCTATTAGATAATCTTAATATTGACAATGCATATCAACGGCGACGCGTTCAATCAATACAATACATTTTCTTGATGAATATTATACCAGCTTAATATACCGTTGTTTATATATATCGTCGGTATTAAGATTATCTAATAGAAAGTTACTATTTAGTACGCGTATCAAGTGCACGATGTAAACTAATAGCGAATTCGGTAGCTTGCACTAGTGCGCACTGAGTGCGCATTAAGGCTTGTTTACAGTACATTCTTATATTTAAGATCGTGTCTTAAATACATATTTAAAAACATTTTAACTAATAAAATGATTCGTACGGATGTTATACATATCATATTATGGTTAAAAATATTTGAGAATTTATTTGAGAATTATTTAAGACAATTTTTAAATATAATAACATACTATGAACAAGCCTTAGTGCGCACTCAGTGCACACTAGTGCAAGCAACCGAATTCGCTATAAGCCATTGTCTGATACGCGTATCAAATGCACGATGTAAACCAGGCCAGAGGCCGCGCGCGCGCATGCGTTCTCAGATTTCTTTCGGTTAGCAACACAATAAAGCACTAATGTAACGCTGACTGGCGCAGATTTCTGTTGACTACAGCAGAGTGTGGTCAATTGATCTATTAGCGCGAATAAAGTGACAAGGGTAATTTATGACCCTGACTTGTAGATTCAATTGCATGCCTATCTGACATTGAAAGCAATCAGCAAGCGTTACGACATAACAAACTACAAAGAGGCAGTGGATCGAGCAAAATGATTTTAGAAGAATATAAGGAAATTGTAGGATCGTGTGCCGCATACATCACGATGTTACAAATGTTAGCCGGAACGTAAGTGTTAAACGTAATAAATTTTCTACTTATATCACGTCTTCTCTTTCAGTAATTATGACTATATCTCGATTGTTATCACAGTGAAGAAATTTATCCAATAATAAATAATAAAATCAGATTTGATTGAATATGGTGAGCAAATGAAAATTAAAATATCAATATTTTTTTAATAAATATATTTACGAATACTGGATTTATTTTTATACTTAAAATTTATTAATTTTAAATATTATCAAATGTTATATAAAATATTAAAAAATGAATTAAAAACATTAAAAATCATTTCATAGCATATGCATATATTATGATAACAAAAGCATGTATTTTCTTATTTTGTAACTTCTCATTTAAATATTTTCTTGATAATAAATAATGATATGCAAGTTGTTTCTTGAAATTTCATGATATATGTTTTAATGAAACTTATTTTGCTTTACAAGCTATAAATAAATATATCATTTTAATGTATCATATTTTTTACAATTTGTAGAGTCATATGTAAAGATATATACCAGAAAAGTACATCTAAAGGTGTTGATCCAATGCCCTTTGTTGGTGCCATAGGAGTGTAAGTATATATATTTTTCTAAAAAATATATGAAACATTTGTTAATAGTAATTAAATTAAATATATATTGCAAAGTTTTATTATATAAAATTTTACAATATAATATACTTTTTATGATAAAATTTTATACAATAAAAATATACACCATGTGTTTCTTAAATATTGTCCAGTATTTTAGAAGTTGATACTTGAGATCATTTCAGACAATACATATTTACAAAACCGTATGTTCATATGAACTTTTCTTCATAAAACAATGTTAAAAATCAACTTTTAAAATATTGAGCAGTACTTAAGCAACATAGATGTTAATCTACATATGTTAAGAGAAATTAAAAATAATATATATACTAAATTAGTTAATTAACTTTGTAGATGTATATTGATGCTTCGATATGCATTGATGTTAGATGATCCTGCAATGATAAATGTTAATGTATTTGGTATTGTTACAAATACAGCATATATGATAGTATATTACTATTTTGCTCCAAACAAGGTATATATATGTATATATATATATATATATGCCTACAGATAAATATTTTATTAAGATATGTTTGATTTATAGTCTGTTAAAGCTGGATTGATTATTTATTATGAAATATTTTGTTTTTTTAGAGAAATATACTAAACCTAATAGGCAAAGCAACATTATTTGTCATATTCTTCCTTGTGTATGCACAAATAGAACATCCATCAAATGTTGAATTTAGGTTTGGCATAGCGGTTACTGTACTTCTCCTTTTTTTAATTGCATCTCCTCTTGTACATCTTGTAAGATAACCAACGTTTTTACATATATAACTGTCTGAATCATTAAAAATATATATATAAAAAACTCACTCACTTTTTAGGGGGAAATCATAAAAACAAAAAACACGGACATACTTCCATTTCCACTTATATTCATGGGGACTTTAGTTTCCTTCAGCTGGTTATTGTACGGTTTTATCATTGACAATGCTTTCATTATGGTAAGTATCTTTGTTATCTAGTTGCATAAAATATTTTGGTACGTAAAATATTCTACTAATATACATTACAAATTATTGTATATATTTTAATAGTTCCAGAATGCAGTTGGTCTTACGCTTAGTATAATTCAACTATCTCTTTTTGCAATATTTCCGTCAGGAAATTCAGAGGATAGACTGTTAAGCAAGCAAAGAAAAGAAGATTGAATAGGGCTTTCAAAAAAGACATATTTGTTGCAAAATTAAAGTTATATTCTTATAAAATATTTATCTTATAAAGTATTTATAAAATAGCAACAATTTTATTAGTGATTGTATATATACATAAAATGAGTTTTAGTTTGGATTACAACTTTTTACTATACACGTCTACAATATACGTTATCGACAACGATTATAGTTCGAGCAGCGTAAAATTGGCTCCACGCATTTCTCTACTTGCTTCACATAGTAATGTAAAACAAAATTAAAGAAACAACACACACACATGTTGGATACTAACGTACTAAAAGTGTATATCTCCTCATATTTAAAATATTCTTACGAAGAAATATAGGTTGATATTTATAGTCGAATCTTATATTTAAGATCGTCTTAAGTTTATTTTTAAATGCTATATGGATCGTTTTATTAACTACAAAATATCTAAAGATAAATTTAAGACAATTTTTAATACAAGTTCCGACTATGAATACCGGCCATAAGTACGTTATTATTCTATAAGAACATATCAATTTTTCGCTTCTGACGTCTTCAAATAAGGACAGCCATAGCGAGGATAGCCTTAAATAACGTGAGAAGTGAGGATACTAAAAATTCTTACGAAATGCGTTAAAATAAAAAGACATATTAGATGCGTTCAGCGAACTCAACAGTTGCACAACAGTTGAGCAATTCGCCAATGTAATTAGTCTAGATTTAGGGATCTGACAGTATGAAACAATAATCGCTGATTGCTCACTAAGCGCTTTTTCCGCTAAATTCACAAAATGATACTTACGATCGATTAAGTATACTTCTAAAATATTCCGTATACTTTTTGTTTTAACAATCAATAATTGTAAAATTAATATAACAGAATAATAAGGAAATTAGCTTAAAAAAAGGTATGTCATGTTATAGTTATTTATTGATTGTTAGAGGAAAGGAAAGTGTTTGAAATATATTTTGAAAGTGCTTAATAGATTGTGTCATTTTATGAATATATTTTTTTATCTCGACATATTTTGCAAGAATTTTTATGCGTTTTCTCGCTTCTGATGTCATTAAAAAAATATAGACGATGTGAGTACTCAGGAACCTTAAAAATTTATTGAAACTTGTATTATATATAAGTTGAAATATTTTATAACTCTTCGCACAATTAAAAAAAGATTAACTATTTGAAAGACTATTTAGATTGATTAAATATCAGTGTGTTGTATCTTTACTTTTGTTTCATATTACTATATAAAACAAATATGGAAATGTGTATAAGATCATTTTCATGCTGCTCGACTAATTACAATTGCCGTCGATAATCCATATCGCATAAGTAAAAAGTTATAACAATCTAAAACTTACCCTATATAGCTGTTACTTCTGTTATAAATTAAGTAAAACCATAGAATACAGAGACATTCCAAGTTGTTAAGCTCAAATTGAAAAGTATATATTTTAAATATATACTGTATAAAGTATATGTGTGTGTACTCTATATATTTTTTATTATAATTTAAATATGTGTGTGTGTTTAAATTATGTTAAAATATAGGTAGAAATTATATTAAAATATATATATAGAACATATACTTTATACAGTATATATTTAAATATATATACTTCTCAATTTGATTTACATATTTAGAAAGCATTTATTCATACAGCTAATATTCATATCTATCCGTAAGTTTTGCAAAGTTTTATTTCTCCGAATTTTAATATAAAGAAGAAATATGACAATAATACGCTCTTGGTACATGTAAGAAGGAGAGGGAAGAAATAGAAAGTACAAACTAAAAGTATTTTTTCTATCCACATTATTCTTGTAATACAGAAAAATATACAGAAGTTGTGAAATAAAATAAGTATTACATCTTACTTCTTATGTGAATGAATTGTGTACGCTAATTATAAGTGCCTTTATTTTATAATCGGTAAAGAACGGCTTAAGAAGTTTGTAAGATGAAATAAATATTAAGAATTCATTGAAACTTGAATTATTATATATTGTTACGTCCCGGAGTGGTCGGGAACGATAACTAAGATTATCGGAGCACGACGCAACTGTTTCACGGTTTCGAAGAGAGTGTCGCAGATACCGCATCAGATCGACGGCTGTAGCTCGTTCCTCTTTGTTTAAAAGAAACACGGTTACCGGACCCGAAGTCAACAACGATAAGAGCGGTCGCCCAGTAGACGATATTACTTTTTGGGTAGTGATGTTTAATGTCTATAATCATAGGGAGCGGTGCACTTGGACACGGTGCATTTGGACACAGCCAATCACAGCACCGTGTGATTAGAGACATTTGTAGGGTCCCTTGGAACAGCGACTTGTGATTGGACTGTGTCCAATTGCCCCTTGTCCAACTGATATACACCCATAATCATAATCATACGCATGTTATATTTTAATTAATCGCGAGTTAAGACACGATAACTTATAGTTAACTTACAAATAAGCGATAGATGCTATAGCGTAGAAATCTTTTAGAGAGGTATTTTAAAGAACATCAGTTTAATTAAAATTGGGAAGACAAGAGAGGATTCGGGAACCATGATACTTTTTTATTTAAAGTTCTCACGAACGGTTAACATAGTTGTTTATTCGATGTTTGATTATGGTATTTTTAGAAGAGAAAGAAAATAAAGTTTCTCATAGCGACGTTTCTCATGGCGTGTTGAATAAACATTTGTTTCGGTTATGAGATTGCTTAGATTTAGGTTACAGCAAAGATAACGGCTTGCCAGAATTTAATAGACAAAAATGTGTGAAGAATTTGAGATAAAGAAAATGATACAATAATTCTAATAAAGGCTCTTTCCGGTTGTACTGACATTGCTAGCAACTATTGCAAGGGAATAGAATAAAATAGTCTACAAATATCAGTTTAGTCAAAGAATCGAATAAAATTATTTTAAAAATGAGCACGATCGTTTATCCAAGGGGAAGGGTATGGGAGAGTAGTGACGGATACGTAACAATATAAATTGAAATATTTTTAATAATTGTTCGCGCAATTAGAAAAAGATTAAATATTCGAGAAGTGAAATATTTGAAATTAAAGTTGAAACTTTTTATACGTATTCCTTGGCGCTTGCGTGCTATTTTTAATTTCTGTTTTTAACTCTTTCCCATACAACATGCATATCTAAGGACTGTATTCATAATCAAATTCTGGTGCAAAGAATTATGATGCATGAATGATGTACATCAAGGCTCACACTTTGGTAATTTTATCTTGCAGGAGATTGTTCTCTGACTATAAACGTTCTGCAAGCACATGGTTTGCTGCGAAGCTGAAACAAGAAAATAAATTAAAGGAAAGAATCGGTCCAACAATATCTGCAGTCACAGACAATATGTAGATAATTAATCTTTTATTATATGTATACATATATATATATATATA